TTCTGACTCCAGCTCTGATCCAGCCGAGTGGCCCTAGAGAAGCTGCCCAGTCAACCTTCTGGAAGTTGACGTTCCCATCTGAAAAGTGGCCGTAGTGCCACCTGCTACATCAAGGGGAGGATTACACAAGATCTTATATTATCTATTTTGCACATGAAGATTAAAGATGACCTGTTAGTGGGCTGGGGACATTGTGCAGTGGTAGATCTCAGGATGTACTAGGTGCTTGGTCCCCAGCGCAGCAAAACACAAAAATAAAACCCTATCATCTTTTGTTATCCAATCAGCCCTAGCAGTAGCAAAGCAGAGCCGGCTCTCCCAGCAGCCGCAGGGTTCCCAGCCACTCATGGGGAGGTGGCTTCTCCCCAGTGGTCTTACTGCCCTCATTCGTGGTGATTGAACATGCCCTCCTGGACAGCAGTGGCCGCAGCAGCCCAAGATACCAGCAGAGGAACAATACTCTGTCTCTAATGCAATTCCCTCAAAAACATGACTGAAAGAATAAGACGTGTTACTGAGGGAGAATCCCAAAATACAGAAGTGAAATCGACAGAGGTCTCCTTTTTCACTTTTCTTTACATTATCCTCTAAAAGCAAAGTTGGGAGTCTCCAGCATCTGACTTTTAGTAGGAAAAAGGGATTGCTCCCTCTTTCCTGGGAATCATGTTCTTTTTCCTATAAAACTGCCATTTGTGCAGAATTTCAACACTCTTGGGCAAAGTGCTCATAACGAATTTCTCATCCAATAGCACTGCCTTCCCAATGACCATCTGCAGATTGACCAGCACAAATTCTGTTCTACTGGCACAAAAGGTGCTAAAATAATAGGAAAAAGGGGGGTGTGTCACCTAAATAATCATGAACGTTTATTTATTAAGATAAGGCACCACCCAAACTCTACAATAGCATCAAAATCCACCTTCCCCTGTGGAAAGGGAACTTGGCAGTCTTCTCTTTCTCTGGCTGGCCAGGGGTTGTGTGAGGTCACTCCACAAGCCCTCTCCTCCTGAGTGGTGCTGTAAGAAACAGCGGAGGAGCATGAGCCTGAGCCGGCCTGGCCTTGGAGTCACAGCAGCACCTGCCATCAGGTGCTTAAGTCAAGGAACAAGTCTACCAGTGAACCAGGTGGCACCTCACAGCACACCACCCCAAGAACCTGAGACCACTTCTCCAATCAAGTGCAGCTCAGATGCCCGGCAGGGAAAGCACGAGGAGACCACCAGACACAAGGACAGAATCCATAGGTATCCTTATTGGGGTCCAAGAGGAAAGTGACATTGGCAACTATGCCCTGCCTCACAGTTCAGGGACAGTTAGAGGAAGACACGGGTTTTCATGGGAGCAGGTTCTGAGAGACAGATGCCCATTCTGATCTCTGTGAGCAACAGCTAACCAAGGTGTCTCACACAGTCCTGGAACTACAGGAAACAAAGCTTCCGGTACCTCTTCTGTCACCCACGGCCCTCTGCTTCCATGATCTGAGGCCTCCCTCATGAGTGCCCACCACCCACCAGGTTCTGACGGTTCATCTCACTGCCACCCTCAACAGATGTGAGGAGAGATCAACCTTGATTTACAGACAGGACGCTCAGGTCAGTACTGTCCCCTGACTGGCCCAAGTTCACATGGCTAAGGAGCAGCAGGACTGAAACTGAAAGCTTGAACCTCCTGCCTCCAGTCCAGTCCCTGGGGAGGAAGAAGTTGGTCATGTCCATCAGCCTGGCCCTGGTTTGGTCAGGGACATTCCCATCTTCCATCAAACACAAGAGGAGATGATGGGAAGAAGACAACATTCCATCTCCTGTTAATTTCTGGGTATGTAGCTGCCACAAGGTTCTTAACTAAGACACAGGTCCTCCTTTCCCTCCCTCCAGGGATGGCATGAAATACACTCTTTCCAGCTCTAGCGAGCAGCAATCCTGCCCCCGACTAGGAGTTAGTGAGGGTGACCCATGTGACCTGGCCAGCCTGTCTGTTTTGATACAGCCAGACAGTGAGCAAAGGAGGAAGTGCACCTTGGGACCTGGGTCTAGGCTGGAGGGGTCCGTCCTCTCCTCCCCTTCCATCCGTGGTTAGTCGTCAGTTATGCCCCTAGAGTGAGCCTGGGTTTCCCAGAACCCATCTCAACACAGTCTAGGCAGATTCTACCAGCTGGATGAAACCTATCTGCCAATCCTGATGCCACTGTCTGCAAGGGGCTGTTCTGAGGGCACGGGACCTCCCACGCAGCACTGCCCCAGGCCCTGGTGGCTGGCCTCTGGCAGAACTGAACTTCCCTGCCTCTCACATTAGGCAAAGGGTGGCTTTCCTGAGGGCCACATACTCCAAAAGGACCTGTCTCAAAGATTTGTTTTGGGACACGAGGCCAGCAGAAGGGTGGCACCCCCCCACACACTTTTGTTTCCTCTGCCCTCAGTGATGGTGAACTGTCCCTTCTCTCCGATCCAGGAGGCACTCCTGGCAGGCTTGAGGGTGGCTCTAGGAATAGATCACTTGATTTTTTTTTTTCTTCCCAGGACCAGTGCAGAACAGGCACACTTCCTCAGAGAGAGGCTCCTGGGGACTTCAGGGTGTGACTGACTTGGGTCCACCAGGGGGCAGGCAGCCTGCTCTACTGCAGCTCTGAGGGCCCCAGGACTCCCGACCCTGCCAAACAATTCAACGGAGCACCTTAGCTCCTACCTTCATTTGTCTAATGCCCTTTCGGATTCATGAGGCATCGAGATCAGACACCACTGAAATCAGTGCTGCCCTGAGCGGCACTTCCTGTCAGCTGGTGGTTCCAATACTGACTGTGCCATTGCTTAGCGCACAAAACACCTGGCTGCTCAGCAGCTTTGACATTCACACATAAGAATTCTTTGATGCCACAGATCCTGAGGCTTTCTGTCAGGACGTCTCATACAATCAAAGAATGGTGCTGGCAGAGCAGTGCTCCCAAGACCAGGAGCCTCAGAGCATCCCGTGCAGAAGGCTCTGATGGCGGGTGGCAGGCAGGGTCACCCTGGCTCTTAATCCTCATCAAGTGACTGCTCACAAGACTCATTTAAGTCTGCACAATTGAGACAGAAGCCCACAAGGGCACGAGAGTTTCCTGTGACCGTAAACTAAGGTGATTAACAGAAAACATCAGTACTGGTCCTGGAGGGATTTTTTTTTTTTCCTTCGGTAGCAGGGACTGAACCTGGGGTGCTCTACCACTGAGCCACAACCTCAGCCCCTTTAGAGATGGGGTCTTGATAAGTTGTTTAGGGCCTCACTAACTTGCCGAGTCTGGCCTTGAACTGCACCACCCCACCCAGCGCCAGAGACATTTTTAAAACATGGGGCACATTCAGACACTGAGAGAAGGTGACAGAGTAAGGAGAGAGAAGAGACATGTGACAACAGTGGCTTTTCCATGCAGGTGCACAGATTGGTGTTGGGCTGAGGACATGGTTTGATTTGCCAGTGTCACCAAGTAGAGGAGGAAAAAGCACCTGAGGGCGTCTCAGAGAAAGTCTCCTATGGAGGTGGCACCGGCTCCCCTCCACAGTCCCAACATCCCGACACACCCTCCGGCTGCCTCCCACGACACGGACCTCAAGTGTCTTCTCTGAATCCTGGCTCAGGACCTTTGGGGCAGTTAACACTCAAGTCACCTACCCAATGCTGGGCTTTCATGTGTAAAAGGAGACACCATACCCTTGTTCTCGGACGTTTCTCTCCCCTTCCTTCTCTTGGTTCATTTTTTCCTCCTCCTCTTTTTCAAGTCATCTTTGCTGTGAACCCTCATCCATTTCTCCTCAACCCCAAAGTCCCCTGCTCCTCGATGCCCACTTAGGGTCATCTTAATAACTGAATACAGTTATTACAGGAAGTAAAAGAACCAGGCACATGGAAGCGGGCTGGATGCAGGCACACGACGAAGGATGCTTCCCTTCACCATCCAGGCTGGACCAGGACCCATCCTGCCTCTTCTGTGGGCTTCAGAGCCCCCCACGGAAGTAGATGGAAATGGCCAAGCCCTGGCACTGACTGCCTAGTCACAACTGGAGTTTTAGTGAGATCGCAGGTGATTCATATATACAAGGAACTGGACCCTGAGGACCTCCAGGGTACAGACAGCACAGGACTCCTACATTGTGGACACCCCCAGAAAGCCCTCCAGAACCTGGGGGTTCCAGCCATACTACCAAGTGACTGCTGCCTGCACCACACACACCAGTGGTGCTCACAACCCCCGAGGTGCATGCCGCATTGTGACAAAACAAGCTTCACAGTACATCGTGCACGAGAAGCTCAGTTCCGGGTGGTTCCCTAGTCCTTGGGATAGGAAGGAAGGCAGTGGGACGCCAGTCCCCCCGCCCCACCCCACTGAGAGAGCGAGTGCACAGACCCCTGACTTCACAGCTCTGCCGCCTCACGTCACCACACACCCCTGCACATTGTAATGACTTTGGAAAGCACAGGTCTGAAAGCACAGCTGGCCTGGGACCCCCACAGCACGCATCTGGTGCTACCACCAAGCTCTGTGGGCGAGAGCTCTCAAGCCCTGCAGCAGCCTGCCCTCTTCCTGGGATGAAGTGGCCCATGTCCCATCAGCAAGAAGACCGAGTGGGGACACAGATTACTCCAGCCTGTGTCCCTGCCTGCTGGAGAACAGCGCTCAGCCCACGCCGGCCAACTGTGCCCCACTGCACGGAGTGAGCGTTTTGCTTTTACAATGTCTCAGGGAGGCCAGGTCTTATGGAGGGGCGGGGCATTACCAAGAGGAGGGCCGCCTTAACAGGGATGGAGAGTTGGGCCTGGCCCCAGCCCTAGCCCCGCAGAAATGGTCCTGTGCTGATGTTTCTGAGTCTCAGCGCCTCCTCCTTGGATGTGGGCTGAGAGCCACCTTCTGGGAGAGCACTCGGCCTCCATGGTGAGAAGGGCTCTCAGTCAACAGCTGTATGAGCCTCTGCTGCACAGCTCACCCTCGGGCTGGGCGGCCAGCCCTGCCTCCCATGTGGCCGGCTTACCTTGATCATCTCTGCCACATAGCTCTCGGGCCCAGTGTACTCGGTGGAGTCCTTCACCTTGACCAGCACAATGAAGCACAGATAGTGCCACATGTTGTGCTCTTCCTTGATGTGCTCCTCAAAGGTGACCGTCTTGTTGTCAAACTTGTCTCTCTCCAGGCCTAGAAGAGACACAGGAAAACCCACTGAGCAACTTTGAAAGATCCATCGTCTCATGCCAACCTTTACAACACATTCACTTTATGATGGGAAAACACAGGCGGTGAGGTCTGACCCAGCTGGGCGTGAATCCCACCTCTGATGCTCAGTCTCTTCAATGGGCCTTAGTTGCTTTGTCAGCAAAGGGGAAGAAGACTGCCATCTAGGTTCCAGGGGTGTTCAGGGTTGAATGAGAACGTGTGAGGTGCTCCTGCCTGCACAGGCAACCAGGTAAATACCAAGGTACAGACGCATTACAAGATTTTGGAGGTCAGGGACCTTGGCACATGCCTATAATCCCAGTGATTCAGGAGGCTGAAGATCACAAGTTCAAGACCATCCTCAGCAAGAAATAAAAGGACTGGGGAGGTGGCTCAGTGGTAGAGCACTGAGAGGTTCATTCCCCAGTACCAAAACAAAAAACCCAAAATATACCAAAAATAAGAAAATTATCCCTCAGTCACCATTGTGATAACAGATTCAGACAGGAATCATCAGCGATGCCAAAACTAGTGGTTGAAAGTTTCCTTTAAGAAATAAGAGGATATTTACTAGTGTCAAAGTATCTCCCCATAAAGATAAGCTTCATAGTGGAGAGAACTTGGCAGTTACCATGTTAACCAGGTGATCAAAGTGAACAACACCAGCTATGAGACGAACCCATGTCATATGTTCCTGGTATGACACGCTGACAAGAACACATCTTTGATATTCCTGTAAAAAATGTATAATCTTGACTCTACTGTCAGGAAACACTAGAGAGACCCAAATCAAAAAATGCCAAAGGAGGCACAAGAAAACAGGGCGACCACATGCTACACATGACCTGGATCTTAGAAGGGTAAAATTCGAAGAGGGTCTACAGATTAGATGATAGTTTTAAATCTGTTTTGATTTCCTTATTTTGGTAATTTATATTGTAGATAGGAGAATGTTCTAGTTGTTAGGAAATATGTAACTGAGACATTTGGGAATAAGAGGACATGTGTCAGCCACAGATACTCACATGGTTCAGAAAAATAGTGTGTGTGAAGCAAATGAGAAACAATAAGATCTGGAGGATCTGGGTGAAGAGTATTTAGAAATTCTTTGCACTAGTCTTATGACTTTTTCATAACAAATTATGTCAAAAAGAAAAGCTTTAAAAAAGTTTTAAGTGGGGGCAAAAAACAAGAACTAAAAAAATTCTTTCAAAAAGAAATTTAAATCTTTAAAGGGGAAATACTCATTTGGTTTTTTTTTTTTTGTTTTTAGTGTCCCTACCAGGGAACAATATACATACTTTATGACTATATTATGAATAATCCTGCAGTGATTACTCAGTTCCTATGTTTATAGGATTAGTTTTCATTTGCATATATTTTCCTGTTGTTATACCGAAAATGATTTTTTTTCAGTAGCCAAAGCCCTCTGTGTGCACAGCTCGCTACCTGGCCTCGGATGCCTAAGCCAGGGTCTGTGCTAGGTGCTCACCTGAGCGCTCTCCCACCCTCAGTAATGCAAGCAGCACACATGGCTGCACCCATATCACAGACGAGGAGAACAGGCTCAGAGCAGCTCAGTGACTGCACCATGCTTCATGCTGGTGAGTGGCAGATGCTTAATCAGAGTCCAGGTCTGGGGCCCGAGCCCTGAACTCTTCCACGCACAGTTTGATTCCAACAGCAGTGAAGATGCCTGCGGGCTGGAGGGGACACAGGATCTCCCTTCTAGTTCACTATGATGGGAAGCTCAGGCAGCCTGACCCCAAAAGACCCTGAGATGCTTTTATTTAAATAATGTGCAGTCAGGTTTCTGCTTCCCAGAACTTCATTCCTAAAGATAAAGGAGCAATGGCTGCATAGAATTTGTAGGCACTCTGAATACTTCCCAGAACAGAGGTGAAGCACAGCCCTGTTCCTTGGGGAACACAGTCATTGTCACTGTCCCACAGAGCACCCAGCACAGCCCGCCATGTCCCCACCTGGCTGTCCAGAGCCCAGGAGGCCACTCACCACAGATGAAGCATGTAGTCTTTAAGATCTCTTCTTTCTTCTGCTTCTCACTTCTCAGGTCAGCAAAGGTGTCAATGATGACACCAAAAATGAGGTTCAGGACGATGATGATGACCATGAAGAAGAACAAGAGGTCATAGATCACTCTTGCAGCAAAGAGAGGTTCCTGGAGAAGAGAGGCATGGCAGTTAAGTGCTTCCCTCACTGTCTCCTGCAGGGCTTGGGGCCCAGCACCAACTGGACTGGTGTCCACTTGAGTGGAGGTTACACTGTCTCTTTTCATACGCTGGGTCTGTCTATACTGTGAATTCTCCAGGTATTGTCTGGTACACCCAGGAGGGTTCTGGAAATGTCTCCTTTAGGCCAGACTCGAGCCTGAAGGAGACAACCATTAATTCTAGGGTATGGGGCAACGTGGCAGGCCCTTCCCACGCAGCGTGGCCCCAACATGAGAAAAGAAGGAGGGAGCAGGGAAGCCTTGCCTAGCTACTTCTGCAAGGCTGCTCCTCCCCCTTCCCAGCTCTTCCTCTGTGCCTTCAGTTGACACCACCACCTGCCCCCACACGCCCCCTCTGCCCTTCCTTCCCCTGGGGATCCACCTACCTCTTTGGATGGCTTCCTGAGCACATCTCCTACTCCGCCCCCACTCCGCAGCCCATGACTCAGGACAGTGACAATGCACATCAGCAGCGTCTCGCACGTGTGCTCCTTATCCTGTTCTGTTTCTTCCACAGGGACCAGCTCTGTCAGTGGGGCAAGTCATGACACAGTTAAAACATGAGGGGAACAGCGGTACTGTGATTCTGAAATGACGCTCCCGAATGTTGTCTGAGCAGCCAGCAGGTGCCAGGAAGAACCAGATGAAGGAATCAAGAGTCAAAGACCTGTTTTACAAAGGGGCCACTCTGTTCTCACCCCTTAATTCCCTGCTAACTTCTCAAGCCAGGTCAGGATGGCCCTCCTTCTATGTCCTGCCTATGAACAGAGAAGTCTTTTGAGGTCTGGTAAGTTGTTTACCACTCTGGGTTACAGGTATCTTGCTTCTCAGATGAGGGTCTGTCACAGGATCCAGGTTTCCCTATTATGGTTCAGCATGTGAGGTGTCCCAACTGAAGCTCAGGTGTGGCACAATGCAAGAAGGTTCAGAGGTGAAACAACTGGTATGAGAGCCTTAACATAACCAGTGCATTAATCCCACTAGGGATTACCTGGGTGGCAACTGTAGGTGGATGGGATGTGGCTGGAGGAGGTGGGTCCTTGGGGGAGTGCCTTCAGGGTTTGTATTCTGTATCTGGTGAGTGGAGCAGCTCTCCCTCCTTCCTGGTACCATGCCCTTCCGCCTTGCCTCACCTCAGTCCAGAGCTATGGAGTTGGCTGTCTGGGGACTGACACCATAAGCCAAAATAAACTTCCTCTCCTCTGCATTGTTCTTGTCAGGTCCTTTGGTCACAGTAAAACATTGGGAATGCTGTGGGCAGGGCTTAGTGAGATTGCACAGCAGGTCCACTGGCTTTACCCTGGGTTGTTCTCTCTCACTGTTTATGGAGAATGCTGCCCACCTCGTCCCCTTCTCCAGCTGCACCAAGGACGGTCTTGTTAAAACACAGACCTCATCTCCTCCTGCCCCTTTCAGCAACTCCCAGCCCGACTAGACCCTTCCTGACCTGGCCCTTTGCTTCTATTGTTGCTTGCTGCTCTTGTTCTGCATAATCATTTCCCCAAGTTTGCTGGATTCCACCATTATGCCTTTCCATAGACTACGCCCGCCACCAGGAGCACCTGTCCCCCTCTGCTCAAGAGTCCCCTATTTTAGTAGATGACACTGGTCCTGATGGTGTGAGTGTGGGAGCCTGTCTTCTGTATTCTGTCCTGACTCCCAGCACTCGGCATTCTCTCTAGTGATCCCTATTGACCTGCTCCCCCTACTCCTCTGCTGGCTCTCAGAACAACACAGGACAGGAAGATAGTGGGTGCTGGGATCAGGTGAGCACGGGCCTGCCTTCCCCTTGAGCCCCCTACAGCTGTCACCAGCCTTCCTCTGGGCAGCATGTTTACTGCACTCTGCCTACAAAATCGCCCACATCATCTCAGCATCTGAGATTCACATGGGGCCCTACCTTGCTTGGGTCCAGGAGAGGAACAGTTCTCCCCCGTCTCCACCCTGCACACATCAGAGTACAGAAACTCGCCTGCCAAACTCTCGCCGGTTTCTGGGAAAGAGAAGGAAATTTCATGATGAAAAATCTGGCAGCATACAGTTAAAATGTTTGAAGTCCCCAATTCACGGCTGATTAAACAATTCTTTACATAAATAACACCCTTCAGTCCTGCATATAAATTCAAAGCAAGAGATGCGATTTACACTTTCATTTGGTGATCTGGATGGGAAAAAAGCCAAAAATGTCAATTCCTGTAGGCTTACTAGAAATATCGCACTTAAATAGCACCTCTCTGACTTTAAAGACAAACAGCTGAGACTTTCAGACAAACACTACAGTATGTACAGATTCCAGCAAGATTTAGACCAAGACTGCAGGGGAGGTTTCAGCGGGCACCAATGGAGAGCCAAGGTCCAGCCCAGGTTGGTTCAGAACCCAGAGATGGCCAACAGTAAGTGCCACAAAATGTCAACTGGAGGCTGAATGACATGCCAAGAAAAGCTTCTGGAAGGGAGGAAACCAGGCTCCTGCCTTCGCGGGTCACCGTCAGTTTGTTCCCGAGATCAAGGAGCTTGATCCAACGCCTGTCATAGTTCACTAACCAGTGGCAGCTCTGTTAAGAGGGAGAAGAGAGCACTCAGGCACCGAGTACTGTTCCTCACTCTCAAAACTGGAAACCTCTTCTGTTTTTGCTATACATAAAAATAATATCAGCTCACTATAAAACCTGCATACAATTAAAAAAAAAAAAAAAGGCCCAGGATAGCCACTGCTAGCAATCTGATAGTATATCTGTCTACATTTTAAAAGATACATATAAATTTTTTAACTTAAAGAAAAAAAAAAAAGGCTAGGCATGGTGGTACAATCCTATAATCCCAGTGACCCAGGAGACTGAGGCAGGAGGATTGCAAGCTTGAGGCCAGCCTCAGTGATTTAGTGTAGCCCTAAGCAACATAGACCCTGTCTCAAAATAAAAACTAAAAAGGGCTGGGATGTGGCTCAGTGCAGGGGTAAAGTGCCTCTGGCTTCAATCTCCAGTACCAAAAAAAAAAAAAAAAGAAAAGAAAAGAAAAAGTCCTACCCTTGTTATCCCATAATTTCTCATGGCATCTTCTGTGATATTTTTCTAAGATGCCTTATAAAAATGGACCCTCGGTGCAGGAGACTCCACCCAGTGGATGGACCATAATCTAAGAAAACGCTCCCTGACACTTAGGTTGTTTCCAGTTTCGCACTGCAGAGAACCTTCTCCCAGGTTTTCACATGCACCATCAGCAGGGGTTTTCCTTAGCCTAAATTCTCAGAAGTAGGTTTATTAAGTCAAGAGGCTGCACATCTCGATGTTTTCAACATACACGCTCCAACTGCTTTATGGAAAAAGCTGTGCTGGTTTAAAACAGGACGTTATTGAGCGATCGTAACGTCTGGTCACTTGTCCTCAGCATGTGACACACAACATCCCCCTTCCGGCAAAGGGAGAACCAAGTTCTGTATTCATGACTCACACTCTGGGCATTAGAGAGGCCTACGATGCCAATGGCACTGTTCTCTAGCTGAGCTATAACCAGGACATACCCTTGTAACGATAAAGAGAGAGAAGATCCCAGACCTACCTGGAACAGCTGTTTCATTGGGCAATCTGTCTACTTCCAAGATAAAATCGTCCTTGAAGAAAAGATAGCCCACGATCGAGAACAGGTAAACCAGGATCAGAGCCAGAACCGCAGTCAGGATGATGGACCGTCCATTGCGGGTGACACTTTTAATGACATTAAGCAAAGTCTCTTCTCTGTACACTAAATCGAACAGCTTCCAAAACAAACACAGAGATGGCACGTCAATTTTTAAGAAGCCTCTATATTACGCACACATTACTACCCCATGGTGAAAGCAAGGCTTACAGACCATTTACCCTCTTGGACACTGAAAAGCATTATCTTAACATTTCACATCTTTTTTAGATGGGCATAATACCTTTGTTTATTTCTTTCTTTCTTTATATGGTGCTGGGGATCGAACCCAGTGCCTCACATGTGTTAGGCAAGTGCTCCACCACTAAGTTACAATTTCAGCCCAACATTTCACATCTTGCCTATTTTCACAGCAAGAACTGAGATGGTAAAAAAAAAAAAAAGGAAAAATAAGCATGCAAGAGGGGGCAAGGACGTAGGAACAATTTCCAGTGCACATGGAGCAGGCTAGGGGTCCTGGAAATCCAGCACGTATGATGCAGAGAGTAAAGGGATACATTTGTTCAGGACATAATTACTGCTTCTATTAAGGACCAGCCAGCGTAGTCCCGGCCCTCTGGAAGCCGAGTGTCTGCTGGGGAAGGCAGACATCATACAAGCTGCTGCAAGCAGTGAGGACCTTGGGCCTCCATAATAGGTTTGGATCTTAGCTCCTCACTGCCATCTTGGGCTAGATACTGTCCCCATCCCTTTTGCAGAGCAGAGGATGCAGTTTACAGACAGTAAACAGGCAATGTGTATCCAGGGCTCAGCATTCATGCCAAGTAAGACAATACATGGTAATTATCAGTTTCCTGAAGAAGAGACTGGGGCAAGGTCACATAATCAGTAGACGGCGGGGACAGTCATGGTGTTGACCTACCGGGAGGCCTCAGCCCTTCTGTCCTCCCCAGGGTGGGGGAGACCCCTGTAGTTTACAGTCTGGGCCTGGCCTTTGCCAAGGGAGCTACCGTTTGCAAGAAGCTGGCTTCCTGACAAGTGCAGGATCCTGTTGAACCATGGAGGTCTGAGAGGCCCTGGCTAGATTTCCAAGAGCTGCGCTATAGCTCTGCAGCAGGGGAATGATGGGGAGTTACAAGAGGAGAGCTCTATGGGGTTGCTCTTAGACGTGAAATCTAGTGGGTTATATGGTTATTATTTTTAGTTTTAAATTCTGGGTTTCCCTTTGTTGCCCTCAGCATGTGACACACAACATCCCCCTTCAAATTTGTGATCCTCCTGCCCCAGCCTCCTGGATAGCTGGGATCACAGGTGTGCACCACCGGGCCTGGCTGGAGTCTAGTTTTCAGCACAGCCTCTGAGCTGACGCTGAAACCTCTCTCAGAGCTCCAGCCTTTGCTGCGGTTGTTGGTCACCATGAAGCCATTCAGTGGAAAGGGTCTGGCTCCTGACTCTGCTTCCCATTTGTTACGAGATGTTGATTAAGCCATCTAGCGTCTCTGGACCTCAGTTTCCCACCTGTAAAAATACGTGGACTGAACTAACTGATCTCTGAGTCCCTTCCAATTTAGAATTGTATCATCTGAGGTCATTTTCTGGTCAATTAGCCTTTCTGCTGCTCTAACACCAATCTGTGCTCTAAATACTAGCTCTGCCAAGAGAACTGGGCAAAGTTGGGTCCTTAAAAAGAAGCGAGGAAGATGCACTTAGTCAACAGGAGGGAACAAAAGGCTGAGCGTTACTGTTAATGCTGGTTAAATATTTTCTAGCAACTCAATCCTAAGAGGCCAGTAAAAACACTGTCACACCATAACAAAAGAGACTTGTTTTCCATGGTCAAAAGCAATGGCAATTACACAGCTCCCAATCACAGAAAGCACAAGTGACTTTTCAACCTCCCCCCTTTTTTAACTTCTTGAACTTCTGATTTTAAAACAATGAACATTTACTATTTATATAAAGGAGAACCTGATTATCTTCATTTGCCAAGTTACTTCCTGCTCACATTTTAAAAAATATAATAGATGCATATTTTTTTAGAAAAATATTATACCATAATATTTTTGGTACATAGCCAAAATCCCTTATGCCCAGCAGTAATGAGCATTTTCATGTCAAAAATGATCTCCTAGTATTTGTATGGAAAAAAAAATAACCAGTATCTTTTTTTTTTTTAAGTCGTCAATATTTTAAAAATTATGTGTTGTTGTAAACAATGCTGTATCTGCCTCTATACAAACTTGTCTATTTCTCTTTGGTTCATTTCCAGAAACGAAAACTTGGAGTCACATATTCTAACATAAGCACATAGCCTACCACCGTCCAGGCAGGCAGGATCCATGCATACTCACACCAGCAAAGAATCATCCTCATGTCATCCCCAGCGTCACCAGTACTAACCACAATAGTGTTTTTTAACTTCCCCTGACAGACATCACAGGTAAGATCTATGGTGGGACCTGCAGTCATTTTAACCATCATGTCTTGGTTTAGCAGTAAAGGTGAACGTCTCCCTGTGTTTGCTGCCCATCTGGACTGCTCCTCTGGCTAATTACCTACTTATGAACTTTGTACATTTCTTCTTCAATGTTAATATTTTTCTAAGGACTTAGCTTGAATGGAGGCCCAAGGTCACAATCAGACAGTCTCTTGGGGGCTCCTGGCACTTTACTTGGCCACCGGATTCCCCTCCCTTCCAGTCTGCTGGGTTTTCTGTACTGCAGGTCTCTCTCCCTTTACAGAAGCCCAGCTTCTGTGGGCGCCTGGCTTTCCTTATTTGGGGAATCATGTGAACAGTTCCACTCTTCTGTTTGTGGTTCTTACCAGGTATGTCCACCAGGTCTGATTTCAACACCAAAAGGGACAGACATATCACTTGAGGCCACTGACACGTCAAGGTTCAGAGGGCTTAGAGAGGTCCCAAAGCACACAGAGAGCCATCTGTCACCATCTGGACCAACCAAGTTCCATTTTTCTAAAGGTGAACTGAGCTCAGGCAATACGGTCTCAAGCTCAAGTCTCTCTGTAACTTTCTGTGACCAGTGAGATTTGATAACACGAGCAAAATGGAACACGGAATTCCAGTGTCACTGAGGCGGGGACCTTTTCACATGTTCCAAATGAAAGGGGAATAGACTTGGGGATCTACAGTGTTGAGGTGCCATCCTGTGTCTGCCACTGACTGACTGGGTGACAAAATCCACCTGATCTTGTCAAGCCTCAATTTCTTTTCTCCTATATTTTAAGATTGGTTCATTCGGGTTTACGTACTGGTGGGATCTGTATTTATATATCCATACATGCACACAGTATGATGATACGATTTGACCAACATCATTCCCCAGAATTTCCTAAAGGGGATCTCTTGCCTCTCGGGAGAGACCCCTTAGCAGGGACATGAGACACGACCAGCTGTGCTCCTGCCACTGGCAGGCAGGACAGGATGATTTTTGGATTGGCAGATGTGGGTCTCCTTGACACACAAGCTGAATCTCCCTCCAGGAATATTATTGCATGATACAAAAAGGCTCAGAAATGGACACAAGGCTCTAAATATTTTTGATACAGACCAGGTAATGGCAATAACAAGGGCAGCCTGAGACCTCTTTGCCCAAAACCTGATCACAGCCAGACCTGTTTTAAAATGAGAAAAAAAGGATCCACTCCATTTAGCCCACCAACATCCACCACTAATGGAGTAAGCTAATCCTGGCGAACTCTTCATGGCGCTGTGGATGGGAAGGGGACAGAGCAGGACAAGCAGGACAGAGCCATCTGTGGCTAGTGACCCTCGGGCTGTGCTGTTCTATGACGTGGACATGAACAGTGGCACATAATCCCTGCCATGGTCCTATGAGATGTATGCTTCTCACACCTAGGTGGAGAATCTGAGGCACAGAGTCCCATGGGTAGCACCTCCCTGCAGAGCTTTCCTTCTGTTCATCAGTACGAGGCCTTGATCATTTTTATATACATGTTCCTAGTCCTGGTGTGTATAATAGTCATTTTACAGTGACACAGGCCCAAGGAGATGGTTCTCTTCCCCAATTCTACAGATCTAGGTTACTCTTAACTACAGGACAGGAAGCAGTTACGTGATCTGTAATTTTAAAAAACCTGCTCAGAAGAAAGGAGTCAGAACCACTCACGTGATAGACCTTAACCACGTGGTGCAGTTGGAACAAAAAGAATTTCTACTGAAAATATCTCCTGGGCCTTGGCAAGTCATTCCTACTCTTATGGTCACTGCATAGTTCATTGAGAAATGGATCCCACAAAGACTGCACAGGACAGGCTCATGAATATTGTCCTCAGTAGGTGCTGGCTCGTCCTGAGAAACCAAGATGGATGTTGAGGGGACAGCTCCTGAATCAGACAGTAACCCTCGTACATTGGTGCCAGGTGACAGGTGTGCCGTGCCTGGAGCACAGTGTGACTCTGCACCTCAGATTCCCCAAAGGCTGGGTATAAGGGGGCTTGACCTTGCAGGACCAGGCATATCAGTCGCCATTACAAGGAAGGGTCTCTGACGAGAGGAGGCATAGGACACGTAAACATCTTAACACCTGGTACTCACCAGCAAACTGTAGAAGAATTCATGGACGAAGAGTCCCATGGCACAGATCAACAGATACAGCAGGTGATATAGGAACTCGACATCTAGAACCATGGCTCGGTAGCCTCTGGTGAACGTCCCACAGTTGCCCACGAAGCTCATTAGAAAGATGATTTTATTGCAGACCTGAGAACCAGGACAGAAGAGTTAGATGGCACAGACCATGCCAAAGTGTGTGCGTGAGCCCAGGGAGATTCTCACGCAAATGCAGTTAGGTTCCACCGCCTGACAAGAGCTTGCTTTGGTGCCAAGTGCCCACCGTGTCCAAGAACCATTCTGTAGTTCCAAGTCACTTCACTACTTTGCTTTTTCAGGCATATTACAAATTGCACAGTAGTCAAACGATGTCATGTGCAATGGTAATCAAGTAGCATTTGTATATGGCAAAAACAAAATTAACACATACTGAGATTATGATTTTCAAAATGAGATATGAATCATTTCTAACATTCTTACGTGAGTTAGTCAAACACAGAAGTCACCTCTACCCACGAACTTCATGATCAGCATGATTAGAAGTGTTTTCTGAATCTGTTACATTCTAGGCATTATAGGGTTGCAATTTAATGAGAAGCAGGCAATTCTTGTCTTTCAGTGCTTCTAAATTTATAGGGAAAATAAGAACTTTGGGGGGAAAGCAAATAAGTAATGTCAAGATGAGTTCAGTTTCCCGGCCCCTTCTTCTGGGAATCACTTCTAATTTCCCTGGGGGATCCATCCCTTTCCAGGAATCGGTTCTTGAAGTCTGGGTGGGGCTCCACCCTGAGCAATCAGAGTACTGGAATCTTCTGGGATTGTGCACTGCATTGTTCAGGGATAGGCACGTGACCAAAGGGAGCCAATAAAGTCTACTGAGCCCTTCCCGGGCATAGCAGTACAAGACAATTTTGTCTCTCCCCTTGATCTTAACAAGACAAAATAACCTCTGGAGCTTTTGGCAGCCTCTTACCATACCACAGATCCAGAGAGCACAACCAGTACACAGGACACACAGATCTGAAAGAAGGGACATAGCAACAGGCCCTGATGCCACTGTCTGAGCTCCTATAATCAGCTATGCCTGAAGCCAGGCTCTTGATTTTTTTTTTGGTCAAGATCAACCAATCCATTGTCTCCTCTGCATAGACTTTCTGGTACCTGTAACTGAAGGAGTCCTAACTGATCTGCTCTGTACAACAGTCCCACCTTTGCTAGAAACTCCGCTACTAAAAGTCCATCGCTTCAACAGGTTGATAGAAAAACTTCAATCGGAGGAGGCTGGACAGAAAGCACCTTGGACACCCTTGGTGAAGCCACTTTCTGCTACCCCAGCTCCCCTGGCCTCAGGTGCTGGGAAAATTCTGCCAGTTAACCTGGCAGGTCAGTGTAACAGAGCCTCTCAGCAATCAGAGAGGCAGTACCCAAAGAGAACTTCTGGCTTTCTGGGGCTCCGATGTGCAATCTGTGTTTTTTTTTTTTTTCCCCCCAATATTTTCATCTTTGCTGATGAGGGTCTTCCCTAGGGTGGGCACACATTGCCGACTCTGGATGATGCATATTGATGGGGTTTTGGGGAAGGTCCAAGGAGGCAGGGAGGGTACCAGGATACTGGTTAATATCACTGGATGCAACAGCTCCTGTCATCGCAACAGGAAGGAAAGCAATCCACTTCCCCCGAATCCACTTGATCCTTTAACTTCCATTGCTACCCAGCAAACATCTCCTGTACATGGGTGGTCTCGTGCTGTCTACTCCCTACCCACTCTGCCTGGCTGGCCTTCTGTTTGCTTCCAGCTCCACCCTGCTACAGAAGCAGCCCTTGTCAAGTCCCCCAGGGAGGCTGCCATCTTCTATCTGCATCTTCCCCTGTCTGCTCTGAGCATCTGTCTGAGCTCCCCACAGCACAACAGGGCTCACCACCCCGTCCCTCTCAGGACAACGGCACGCTCAACGTGCAGGACACCAGCCCGGCCTCCCCCAGCTCTCAGACCTCCAGCGTTCCCTCCTCTCTTTATCTACGACCATCTTCCTTCTCCCATATGCTTTTGGTGGTTGGTCTGTCTCTCAGATCTCCTCTAAATATTAATAACTGTCTGGCTCTTTCCCCCTCTAGCAATTATTATTTCACAAGAAAATTGTCTAGTTTGAGACTTTCCCATAAGTGATTTACGTTACAGAAGTGATGACCACAGGATGATTAAAGTCTGGAGTAAAAGAGAATGAGGCAGTCCAGAGAAGACGACCTCTAAGACACTGAGGTCTTCCTTTCCATCCGCCTATCGACGCACCCACCCATCCAGTATTTCTTCATCAATAGCTTCCTCTTGCTGTTGGTGATCCCCCTCCCCACCAACATCTCTCTGCCACTTCTGGCCAGGCTTTTCCATATGTGACAGTTGACAGGATTAGCACATCTTGTCATCTCAAGCCCAATAAGTCACCAATGTGAATGTGTTTTCACCACGAAAACTCAATATTTTCATGACTTCCTTTTAGCTTTTAGCCAGTGTTATTCTTCTCTCAGTCACCCTTGACTGGAAACCTGAAGTCCTATTGGTCTCCTCCGTCACACAATGCCTTCTTGTCCTGAAGAAGAGGACCCAGCTGCACCTCGGTCGGGGAATGCCCTGACTCTGAAGCCCCACCCAGGACTCTTTCCTTCCCATCAGTGTATACTGTACACTACGACCTGGGCTCAGGCTGGCCACACCTGATCAAAATCACCCCAGGGCCTCCCTGCCTCCGGAGTCCACACACCAATGATGACCTTTCTGAAAAATACCTTCGTGTGTACCAATGGCTTGGCTCAAAAACACTTCTCACCAATAGGAACAGAGTTTCCCAACATCTACTCAATGCAAAACCAGTCCCCAGTAATACTTAAAACAACAACAACAGAAACAATCACAGGCAAACATGGGAAACACAAATATGTGAGTTCCCTTTCCTGGAGACTCAAAATCCATATAAGTATATTAAAGTCTCTGAAAAGTCCTCTGGTCAGAGATACCCTTCAATTTTATTTAATTTCTCACAATGACTTGACTACTTTTTTTTTGTTGTTTTGACCCAACATTTATCAAGTCGGGTCATACTTTAGAAATGTGGACCTGAGGATGAAGTCTAAAAGCTTCTTCCTAAAGGCGACTTATACACACAACCACGAATGAGGTCCACCTCAATCTCTAACGATCTCTGGCTCACACCCAGGTGTCCTCGCTGCTCTGCGCTGGCCAACGAGGCCTACGACAACCAGAATGCTCTTCTCGGTTCCTGTTCTCTGGCTGTGCCCTTCAAGACACAACTTAACCCTGATTCCTCCCGCTAAGCTTATCTTCTCGACATGGTCTCCTCTCCAGAGTTCTTGCTGCCCGCGCCATAAAAAGACCCAGTTGGGGACATGGTTACCTTATTTGGTAAAACCACCTCCACTGTTGCACAGGGACCTCAGCTTCCTTATACACTCGGGATACAAAACTCTGGACGGTACTTTCAGACACCGATAGTATCTCACATGGCCAAATTTCATCTTTCCCCTCACCAGACACCCTGTCCCATGAATGGATTGACGTCACTTACCTCCACCTCCCGATTGCTCCTGAAGAGGCACCGGACTTCTCTCCAGCGTACCAAAGCAGCATTTCCCCCAGCACCACCGACTCACTAACTGTCCCTGGTGCTCTTCTTACCTCTCCAGCTTCTCCACCAGCTCTGGACACTCCCATTCACCTCTCTCCTCTTTTCTACATGGCTCCCACCAGAAATGGTGCGGGGTTAATATCTGCTTGTTTGACTTATGGGCAAACCTTTGGCCAGATTGTCGAAGCTACCTGAAATCTCAGCATGTATCACCCTATCTGCCTCACTCCCGGGAGGGATAGTCCCTAAAGTTGAGCCTGTCGACGCCTGGATGATGCACCAGGAGGCTCGAATGCCCCAAGAAGGCCGAAAGGGAGTGTGCGGCCGTGACCATCTCTTCCTTTTGTTGTTTTATTTTTGATAATGGGGGACTGAACCCAGAGGCGTTTTACTACTGAGCCACATCCCCAATCCCCCCACCCCACTTTTTTTTTTTTTGAGATTGGGTCTTGCCTATTTGCTGAGGCTGGTTCTGAACTTATGATCCTCCTGCCTCAGCCTCCGGAGTCACTGGGATGACAGGTGTGCTCCACTGTACCCAGTCCTTCTGCTCTTTTAGCAGCTGACATAGGCAAAATCTTTCTTTTTCTTGGATTGAAAGCTGAGGCTAAGATGCCAGGCACCCGAACGGAAGGCGTTAACCCATAAACAGCAGCAACCAGGACACTCATACTTACGTTGAACGCTCCCAGCAGAAACAACGTGGGTTGCAGCCCAACCGAAAATATCAATCGTAGAATTGTGGAAGCAATCAAGGCCCGGATGCCATGGGGCTTGGGTAGGGCAATGACGATGGCCAGGGAGATTAGCATTGCTGTCCACAGGAGGCCTGACCAGTGTGGCTCCAGCGTCCCTGGAAGGCAGAGCAGGGCTCTCAGGGATCAGTGCTTTCCTGGAGTGTGGGCAAAGGTCAAGGCAGCTCTGCTAACGTTTTCTTCAGTCCCCGCCTAGCCTTGTCTGTTCCAACTGTCGCCTCAAACTCTCTGCCACAGATACATGCGGTCACATCTGTGTTTTCAGACTTCCCAGCCACCACCACACGTTTTTCCCCACGTGGGGAACTCTTTCTTCCTATGCATGGTAGGTTTAGCTGAGAGGTGACCCCTTCTGGGAAGTCTCCCCCACCCCTTCCTCCTTGCAGAATTTACAATCCAGCTGTTCCCTCCAGCTCCACCCCCCCCCCCCCCCCATTCTGGTCATCCCTGCAGACGCTACGTTCTAATGATCAATGTGTGTTTCTCTCACTCTCCAGACTCTAAATTCCCCGAAGGAAGTGTCTGGTGCCAGGAGGCCCTCACCAAAGGCTTGTTCAGTGACTACAACTCATACCTGGGTCCCGACTCAACTCTCAGGCAGGACCAACAGGAAGCCTGAGCTTACTTTCTATTAAAAGTGATGCAAAGGAACACTGCAGGTCCCCTGCCTGAATCGGATTTCTTCAAGGGAAAGAGGAAGACAATTTCCGTATCATGAGCATCATCCTACAATTAGATTATCCCTGCAGTCAAAGAGACTCTACCACTTTTTGTCATCTCTTGCTATTGCAAGTTCTATTTAGAGTGTCCCACGAGATGGCTTGGTTATATAACACGAGCCAATGTGGCTAAAAATACAGTTCTGTAAAACACTCATTAAAAAAAATAAAACACCCCTATTGCAAATGCTGTCACATCTTGAGTCTCCTTCGGATGTAAACAAGTAGCAATACACGATTAAGGCCACTTATATAAAGGGGTTTCACATCGTCAGGACGGCTGGGATTGCAGCACCGTCCAGGGAGAGACCAGTACACAGACTCCGGCTCTTGCACAAGCTGCTGGCTGCCCTCTGCACTGAGGCCACAGATGCCTGCACAGATGCACTGTCTCCCCCCACAACTCTTCCCCCAGATCCAGCCACTTCGCTCCCAGCCCCTTAACATTCTTCAAAAGGAAAAGCTGATTAGAAATGAGCACGAAGAGTCACAAGCTCTTCAGAAATCCAAAGTGTCACTTTGTGCACATTTAACAATTACTGAACATCTTATTGGCCCCTTGTTGTTAACTGTCATTTAATCTGTCTTCTCGACTATGCTGTGAGGTTGCTACTGGTAGCTCTACTTTTTTTTTTTTGCAGTGCTGGGGATGGAACCCAGGGCTTTGCGTGTGCTAGACAAGAGCTCCGCTGTTGAGCCACATCTCTAGCTCTCCACTTTACTCTGAAGGAAACTGAATCTTGGGTTACATATTTTGTCCAAAGAGAGAGTGTGAATGGCTGGAGTTTACATGTCTCTAAAGTTCATGGTGTGTAATCATCATTTAAATAAAAAAATCTACCCATACCAGGTACAGTGGCACATGCCTGTGGTCCCAGCAACTTCGGAGGCTAAGGCAGAAGGATTGCAAGTTTAAGGCCAGCTGAGCAACTTAGTGAGGCCCTAGGCAACTTAGCGAGACCCTTTCTCAAAATTAAAAAAATAAAAATTGCTGGGGATGTGGTTCAGTGGTTAAGCACCCCTGGGTTCAAGCCCCAGTGTCAAAAGAAAAAAAAAAATCGCCTAATTTAAAGGTTGGATTTGGTGAGTCTTGGCAGTGTATGTAGCCATGCCAGTTGAAACTGGGCCCACAATTGAGATACAAAATATCATCATCCTAAAGTTTCCTTGTACCTCTCTGCTTTCCATGTTTTGCCCCAACCCCTCCCACTGATGTGCTCTTCTGCTATGCTAGTCTTTCATTTTCTAAAATTTTATAAAAATGGGGGGAAGTACACAAGTAGGTAGTCTTATGCACCTGAATTCTTTCACCTATCAAACTTTTTTGAGTCAGTCAGGTGACTCTACTGATATTTCATTATTTTTATTGCTCAGTAATATTCCATAGAATGGATACACTATAACTTACCTATCCATCCATCCAACAATGAAAGGATATGTGGGTTACTTCCAGCTTGGAGCTGTTATGAATAATGTAACCAGAACACTCAAGTGAAAATCTTGGAGCAGATATGTTTCCATTTCTCTTGGACTAAGGTGAGGAAGGAGACTGCTGGGTTTTAAGTATAGGTGTAATTTTATAAGATACTATCATACTGCTTTCCCAAGTGACCGTGCATATCAGCATATGGCATATGAGTGTTCTTCTGGTCCCACACCATCACCGGTACTTGGTATTGTTGGTCTTTTTAGTTCACCCATTCTAGTAGATTTGCAGTGATGTGTCATTGTGTGTGTGTGTGTGTGTGTGTGTGTGTGTGTGTGTGTTTAAATGTCTTTTTTCTTTAATATTTATTTTTTAGTTAGGTGGACACAATATCTTTATTCTACATTTATGTGGTTCTGAGGATGGAACCCAGTGCCTCATGCATGCTAGGCAAGCACTCTACCGCTGAGCCACAAACCCAGCCCCTGTGTTTTCTTTTGTTTTTAATATTTTCACTAATCATTGATGGATCTTTATTTGTTTATTTATTTACATGCAGGGCTAAGAATTGAACCTAGTGCCTCACACATACTAGGCAAGCACTCCACCACTGAGCCACAACCCCAGCCCTCATTGGTTTTAATTTGCATTTCCCTAACAACTAGTAATGATGAATGTCTTTTCACGTGCTTATTTGTATGTATGTGTGTTGATGTTGTTGTTATTATTATTTACAGTGCTGAGGATCAAGTCCAGGGCCCTGCACTTGGATAGGAAAGAGTCCTGCCACTGAGCTATGCACCCCCGGTCCTATGTATCTTCTTTTATGAACTCTCTGACCAGATACTTTGCCCATTTATTGTAAATGGGGCAGGCTTTATATTATTAAGTTTTAAGGATTCTTCATATGTTGTGGATATAAGTCTCTAATTAGATACCTGTTTTCTAAGTATTTTTCTCCCAGTGTCTGGCTTACCTTGCATTTTCTTAAGCACATGAACACCACTTAATATCTCAGTCTAATACATATAACCATATATGCAGATCCTGAAGAGGCCAATGTAAAAACCTGTCTCCCCACTATAAAAGCCGTGTTAAAAAAGAGTGCTGGATTCCAAAAAGCAACTCTAGAATTTCTAGACATCTTTGAGACAGCTGGAGAAATCTGAATTTGGACAGACTATTACAGGATTTACTGTTAGTTCTGTTAGATATGATAATGACATGGTGATTATACAGATTTTAAAATATGCTTATAAGTTAGAGAGGCACACTGAAATATTTATGGTCAAAACAACAAGATGTCTAAACTTCTTTAAAATGTTTCAGAAAATATAGCAGGGGGATAGATGAAACAAGACTGGCAAAATGTTTATTTTTAAAGCTGGGCTGATAGGTACATGTGGGTCATTATATTGTGCTGCCTACTCATGTGTGTATTAGAAAACTTCCATATAAAAAAGTTTAAAAAGTAGTACTGCATTTGCTTTAATCATGATGGCATGCCTACAAATTCAGGAAGCATCTGAGCCTGCCCAAGTGTCACGCTTTTTAAAGACTTAGCTACTCACCAATTCTGATTTTTGTTGTTGTTGTTTTGTGGTGTTGGGGATTGAACCCAGGGCCTTGTGCATACGAGGCAAGCACTCTAACAACTGAGGTACATCCCCAGCCCCGACAACTCACCAATTCTGAAATGAAAGGGGATGGAGGGGGCTGGGGAGATGATACTTTTGAAAAGGAGCTTTTAAGGCCACTGCTGTTCTTGGCAGCCATGTCTGATGAGCCACAGAATCACATGGCACACACTATAAGGTCATTATTCACAACCAAGAGGGACATTTTGGAAATTCTGTTCTTAAGATGCCAAAAATCCTTGTGTGTGTGTATGTGTGTGTGTGTGTGTGTGTGTCTTGTGGCAGTGGGGATAGAAACAGAGACCTGTGCATGTGGGCAAGTGGTCTACACTGAGCTGTAACTCCAGCCCCTAACAGATATGGATCTCAAAAAAATATTTTCAGGTCAATGGACCAGATGTTATTTCTAGTCAGGGTTAATACAAGCCTTCTCCTCCAGAGGTTTACTGGTTAAGTATAGCAAATGCCTTCAACACATGTTACAAAAGGAAAAAATAACCTGAGGGTGAACTGATGTGCTTTAGGTAACTTCAGTCACTATATGGTGGAAGGACAGAAAGGGCCCCCTTAGGTCACACTGACCTCCCTTCCCTCCCAGGAGATCTGGTCCTGCTGTCCCACATGCCCACCCCATGAAATCCTGAAGCCCATGTTTTCCAAACAGGAAGCCTTGTCTCCCATGGGTTTTTAAGATGCCAACTCAGAGGGCACCATGTTAGAGTTAGAAGGACCCTCAGCAATTAGCTCATCCAGTGGGTCTCAAATTTGATGGGAAAGAAGCAGGAGGCTCCAGGGAACCATGACTAGGTTACTAGTTTTCCCTGAATTCTGCAGGAAGTTCAACAGCCACACTCCCAGCCTCTAGCTTGGTGTCAGTATCCAGAAATGCAGAGGCACGTGACCAGGAGCCAAGGAAGTGGCCTGCCCGGAGGTGGAATGGCAGGGCCAGGCCTGGGCGCTAAGTCTCTGGACTTCTTTGACCACGAATTCCACTGTAGAAAGCTTAACACTGAAAGGTGAGGCCTGTCAACCCACTGTCCCCAGATGCTGGCCTGAGTGCTGCCACAAATAACCAGAGAAGAAAATGGTTACAGTGAGTAATAAAAATCTCTTTGAAACATTTTTTTTTTTTAAATCAAAGGTAAATACAAACATAATCAAGGCAGTGGCTAAATAACCTGTTTTGACGAGCAGGAGTCGGTGCCTCCATCACAGCCAATGGAGTTCTCCACTGAACCCTCTCCTGTTCACACCCCTGCCACCTGGCAGCTTAGTGAGGGCAGACACCCCTCAGAAAATAGCTTGCAGCCCTGTGTTTCTGTCAGACCTTTTCAGACATGGGTGCTCATGCTTCCTGAAATAGCATTTAAAAGAAAAATGCTGCTCGGCTCAGTGGCCACACCTGTAATCCCAGCAACTCGGGAGGCTGAAGTAGGAGGATTGCCAGTTAGAGGCCAATCTCAGCACCTGAGCAAGGCCACGTCTCAAAATAATAAATAAAAAGGACTAGGGATGTGGTTCAGTGGTGGAGTGCCTCTGGGTTCAATTCTCAGTACCCCAAACCAAAAGATAACAACAAAAAAATGGGGTTAAGATGATATTTCAAGTTCAATAACTCCTTCTCTTTCTTTCTTGGCTAAAATACACATACATAGTAATAGATTATTTAAATTATTTTAAGTTAGACTTAAAACTAAAAGCTACCATCTCATTCTTGCCTGAAAATGGGGACCTGCGATCCTAAACGTGGCATAAATGCTTCCAGGGACAGTACTAAGGGTGTAGGTCACAGCTGTCCAGTTGCATCTACTCATTTTTCAAAATTTAAGCCATCGGTACCTCCTCGCACTCCTTTAAACGGGTAGAAGAAGGCCACGAGCAGGTTCATCAGGACGGCCAGGTTGAAGGAGATGCTGCTCCAGAAGGACATGTTGCGGGCACACCAGTAGAGGACAGGCTGGGCTGTGGGAGGGCAGAGGCCATGTCAGAGAGCTGGAACTCCACAGCCCCTCCTCCCCTCCGTCCCCTCGTGCCACTGGTTTCCTTCTCAACAGTAAAAACGATCATTTGTTTCCAAATTGGCACGCAGTGACATCTCATCGGTTTATTTCTGTTTGGAGAACTTGGGAACAGAAGGCCTATTGGGGGACACTGAAGAGGAGGAGGAGACAAGTTGGGACATCTGAAAGCCCTGCGTGCCCCAGTCAACAGCACCAGCTGCAGGGGCTGGGGGTCATCCAGGGTTCATGCACGGAGGGCCTAGTTCCCCTCGGGCTGCTGGGACCGGATGAGATGCCCAGAGAGACCCAAGAATTCAATTAGGTCTCTAGAAATGTCGGGGAGACACAGCACTCAGAGTTGGTCCAGTTGGGCCTCAAACAAGGACTGGTCCCCTTTTCACATCCCTCCTGGCTCTTAATGACCCACAGCAGAACAACAATCCCCTTCCCAACACTGAGTCACTTGCCGCTTCCCTGAAGCCTGATGGTCACTCTCAGGGGGCCGGGGAAGCAGGAACACAGGCTGCCGACTAGGTGGTCAGCTTGGAGTCCACGTTCCCAGCGGCTCCAGGAGAGAAAGGGTGTGGCACCATGTGTCACACAGGGGCAAGGCACCCTGTGGAAACCACTGCCTTCTCAATCCATTGTGCCCTACGGTGACACCATGTGGGCTGGATATTCTCAGAATAACAAGGCTGTGTCCATGCTCGGCGGCTCCAGGGCACCTTTTCCATTGGTGCCAGGGTAGAGCTGATTTCAGTGTAGCACTAGCATCTCACTCAACATCAGCCTCCCCAGAGACAATGGAGCATGTGGGCAGGGGTCCCTCGCATGCTTTTTTTTTTTTTTCCCCCTCCTTCCCCAGTGAAGTCATCATTTAACTTCAGCACAGAGGCCAATGACAAACCCTATGGCCCTATAATGATACTTGCAGCTGCCAAGCCTTTGGAAGCTTCCCTTCTGAACTAAGTTAGGGTCCAACCAGACAGATCCCTGGGTGCTTAACAATCGCTCACAGCAGGTCTGTACTTGGTAAGAGGCGCTGTTTCCTAACTGCAGAGCCGCAACCCAGCCTTCAGATTAAGAGGCCTCATTTTACACACAAGGGAATGCCCAGCAATGCGTGGAGGGTGTGGCAATGCCATCACCCAGGGGATCGATGCTCTGGGGTCAGTGCCGGGGATCAAGGTAAATGGCTTGTGTGACCACTCCAGAAAGGCCGACCAGGATCCGGCCAATCACTGGGTAATACTTCATCTTGAGGAAGCGAACTTGAGAAGAAAGATCATCTGGCTTTGAAAACAAAAGCAACTGCGATTCTTTTGGGGCTGATGTCCCCTTTCTGATCTAGATACGAAAACTCCAGAACTAGAGGGAAGAGATGAACGGTAAGGAGGTGCTGAGGCTAAGGAACAGGCACAGAGTCGCAGCATCTCTCCCCATCATGGATGTACCAAAAGCAGGTGGTAAGTTGCGGGGTTGGGGAAGGAGCCGGCAAAGCCCAGGATGGTCAGAGAGCCAATGTGAGTGTCCATCGTAGGATACCTCAGTACAACCTCGAGAAATGTGCAGTTCACAAGTACATCTTATTTTTATAAAACTAGCATTCTACTTAAATTGTACTACCATTTTGAAACTGAACAAACATTCAGCCCTTTAAACCAAGTGGCATTAATCCAAGAGCAAGAAGGTACATCGAGACCCACCTGGAGGTGCCATCTCTTATTTCCTGGGGCACGTGGAACAGTATTCCATCCACCTGCCTGGACCCTCTCCTTCTTCCCTTCCCTGTCCTTTGCATCCCAGTCTGGTGATGGTTCTGTCTATACAGGTGCTGTCCCTCAGGGCTCCCTGTGCTCTCTGTGAGGATCTAAAACCATGTCCACAAGGTCTCTGATGCTCCTCCCTTCACAAGGTGTGGCTAAATTCCCCTCCCCTGAGTGTGTGTGGGGCCAGCAACTCACTTCTAATAAACAGCACACAGCACAACTGCTGGCACCTGACTTCTAAGGGTAGTCACGATAGGGCTCTGTGGCCTTCCTCACTCTCTGGACTCGGCCATTGGCTCTGCTGGGTTGTGAGAACTTGCAGCAGATTCACCCAGAGGCCCATGTGCAGGGGAACTGAGGCCCCTGCCAACAGCCACCTGAGTGAGCTAACAACAGGTGGATGTTCCAGTCCAGGCAAGTGCACAGATGGTGGCCCTGGCTGGGGTCTCAGTTGAAACACTCTGAGTCAGAACCATCCCCCTAAGCTACTCCCAAATTCCTGACCCCAGAAAGAGGTGAGAAAAATCAATATTTATTTTTTCAAGCCACTAAAATTTGGTGGGTAACTTGGTACACAGTGAGGAAATGCAATGAACATGCATTCTACAGTAGGCAAAATGATGGGCCCTAAATGTCCCTATCCTAATCCTCAGAGCCTGTGACTGTCTTACCTTACATGACAGAAAGGACTTGTAAGTCCTTGCATGTGAAAGACGGAAGCAGGAGACTCAGAGCCAAAGCCATGCAGCACAAGAAGGGTTCTGCTAGACACTCTGGGCTTTGGGGAGGGAGGGGACAAAAGCCCAGGACCTCAGGCAGCCATGGCTCTACCAATTTGATATCAGGCTCGTGAGAATGGTGTTGTAGGCACCAGAGTTCGTGGCCACTGGTTTCAGCAGCAAGAGGAGACAGATACATCTCCCCTTCCTGCAGGCTCTCTGGCTGTGCTAAGTCCCCACTTCCCATCTAGATGCTATTCCGGTCCCACCTGTCCTCCCAAGTCTTCCTTTCCCATATTCACATAACCTGCCACTGCCTGATTACAGGCCTAATCGTAATCAGCTTGGTATGGAAGCCACTTAAAATATGCCTGTGTTCTCTGCCCCCTTCCAGAGGAAGGAGCCATGACCTTCGCATGCTGGGTTCTCCACTGTAACCTGCAGCATGTTTTCTATGTCCTTGGGGGCTAAAAGTTGCCTGGATCAACAACATCCTGCCACGTACAGCAAGACAGTGGGATGCCGTGACCCCAGATGGGCGAGTGATTTGACTCACTATACCTAGGACACGTTTTGGTGACACTCTTTCCTAGCCTTTTGCTTAAAGGAACTGGGCTTTGCTAGCTGACCTGGATTCCACATATATGCGTATAAGCAGCATTTCCCAGCTCTGTGCCCATCAGAGTGACAGTCACAGGGCACAGGCGTCAGCATGTGTAACTCTATCTCAGTTTCCTCTTCTAGTTTTCACAGCCCAGTCTGGACTTCACCAGAGCTGTGACCTTCAGGAAAGGATGTCAGAGCGGGAGGCAGAGGCAGGATGCAGGTGGGAAAAGGGTGTGTGTGTGTGTGTGTGCCTGCGTGCCTGCTGTGTGTGCTGGGTAAGCAAAGCAGAGAACAGGGTTTCTACAGGGCAGAGCAACTAACTGGGTGTCTCAGTTGTTGCAGAAGAAAACACTAAGCAATGTTAACAGTGGAGTCTCGGCTACAGATGTCCCAAAGCACAGGTGACGTTCAGTAAAAGGTAAAGCTGAGCTGCTATGTGAGTAAGCCAGAAAAGACCTCTTCTGCAGAATTACTAGAAGAGAAGACAGACCCTTGGAAGGGGAGAATGCATTTCAACTTCACTGCACTTCTAATGAGTATACTTCTCCCCTCCCTAGATACGCAAATCATGTTTAATTCAGTTATTATTTTCAATTTCTCTCTTACCAGCGGATAGCTTTGAAGCCAATTAAAATCTTCCAGTTGACAACTATACTTGTGTTTAAGCTTCACAGAAACAAAAACTGTTTTCCAAAAACAGAAAGACTGAAAATAAAGGAAGGCAGGAGTGACACTGTGATATGAATCTGGGAATGCCGAGATGGCCATTCTGGAATAAAAGGAGTCCAAGAGGTCATCCTGCTCCTCGCCTTATGGATGAAGGTCTGGGAGCAGTTAACCCACCTGCTGGGGGCCACAGAGCTGGTGGGTGGCAGAGAGAGAATGGAACTGGACATCCTCCTCCTTGGGGCTGAGGTCCCCCCAATCCCCCCAGCTGGAGACACCTTAACAGAAAGGTCTCTGTTGGTTTACCAGATTTTTAGAGAGACTAACACACACATACACCCCCTATATATATATGGATTGACGAACAATTCTGGGAGAAGAAATATATCTGATCCACTCAGCAGCCACATTCACTGATAAGTATGAAATTAATCGATAAGGTTTGGAGGCATGAAATCGGGACCATTCCCTAAAGCTGCGACTGTGGAACATCGCGCTGACAGGCAGAAGCCACAAAGCAGTTCTCTCCTCTCTCTAGCACAGAACCAGAAAGGTGAGCCCGAGGCAGGTGGGGCTTTTCTCCTCCTCGTGGCAGGGGCATCTCTTTCTTACAGCCCAGCATGGTGCTATCAGGAGCGCCAGTGTTCACCGTGATGCCCGAATTGGAAGAGTGTCGGAGGAATCCACAGGAGGCTCCAAGGACAGGCTGACAGCGGTAGAATCGCGCCTGTATCCTCTGAGGTCTGTACCAAGGAGGATACCCATGCTCGCTGCTGTGAGCCCTTGCTCCCTGGGTCAGGCTCGAGACATGTGGGTACAGGATGGTGTGGCCCAGAATGTTTTAAGATGCCCCTTAGAGACGGGGGAGAATGGAATAGGGATGAGGTGAGGTGGGAATAGGACCTTTTGGCCAATCTGCTTGGACAACCTTCTTTGTCACTAGCAAAGCTAAGGATGCAGGTGGGTGAGGAGAAAAGCAAAGCAGCAGCAGAGGAGGCATGTCTGGTCCTCAGATTAGCAGGGATCAGGGAGAGGACGAGAGTTCCCCGAAACTGACCTATGACACATCTCTCCCCAACCCCAGTCGCACCCCATAGAAAGAGCCAAGAAGATCACAGTGGTAGCTGGACTTCAGCGTTTCAAATAAAAGCCTGGCTCCTGACAGACAGAAATAAAACAGGATCCTTTTTGAGTTGGCCACAACAGCTGGTGCCAAGCTTGTCGTTGGGGCTGAAGGACCACATTAAACCCCTAATGGAAACCAGGAGCAGGGGAGCCCCCTGCGGAAGCCCTATAAAGGTGCCTACCATGAGTCATTTCAGCCAGGCCTGCCTGGGCCTCTCCACGGAACTCGCTGGAGGGCAACGATGTGTCGTACATAAAAAGTTATTCTACTGCTCATAAAATGATTGAGAGCCTCAAACCTGAGCTCCTCGGTATGAGGGGAAACAGGGGAGTCTCCAGAGCAGGTGTGCTAGTAAATGAGCAATCAGGCCGAGTGCACTTCCTGCCCACTGAACCATCCTGGGCGCTCAAGGGCCTGGTCTTTCATCGCTCTCTTTATTTATTTATTTGGTGCCAGGGATTGAACCCAGGGATGCTTGAATCACTGAGCAACATCCCCAGCTCCTTTTTAATTTTGACACAGGGTCTCGCTGAGTGGTTTAGGGCCTCCCTAAGTTGCTGCAGCTGGCCTCAAACTTGCAATCCTCCTGCCTGAGCCTCTTGAGTTTCTGGGATTACACCATGCCCCACCTCTATTTCTGACATGGACATTACAACAAAAAAGGGCATTCTAAGTCATCCATGGAACTTCCACACATCCAGTCAGGACAGATGCTACATGAAGGAAGCCTCTCTGGGGAACTGCCACACTGAGGCTTGGCCCCATTTATCAGCAACTGAAGGGCCACTGGCCTCTGGGAAAGCACATAGATGACCCCCACGTGGCTTCTCTTGGGAGGCAGAGGCACCCCCCAGCTCGAGTCCATGAGACGCCCAGGACCACACCTCTTAGGAACAAGTCCCCCGCGCTGGGACCCACCTCGCAGCTTCTTCTGCCAGTTCATTTCGTTGAAGAGGTCTTCCGAGCGCAGAAAGAAGTCGTTGATCTTGCTACCCTGCTCGTCCCGCTCCGTGGTGTAGTATATTCGCAGTTTTGACTCCTTGGTTAGGAATTCACATATGCTGGGTACTGGGAAGACAATCTGTTCCATCGTTCGGTCTAATCGGACAATCTGGGGTAAAAACAAAGGAGAGACTCAGCGGTCGCCTCCGACACCTTGTGCAGGCTGCAGGCTGCTGGAGGACTTGGGGTTCGAGGTTCAGAACAATAAAGAACAAACTTTTCAGATTCCATGACTTTGGCTAGGCCGTCTCTCTCAGACTAATGTAAAAACCAGTTCTGGTTAACTCTGCTTTTCTAACCTCAGATCCCATTCGTTTTAATGTGACCAGCTTTTACCTGAAACTCACATTGCGTTTCACATACATATTCACATGAGGCTGCTATTGCCCGACAGAACTTTCTCTAAGATGGGATGGTTCTCCATCTATGCTGCCCAGGAGGACGGTGGGCTACAGGTGGCCTCTGGGCATTAGCGTGCATGCTTACTGCAACTGAGGAGCTGAATATTCCGTTATATTTCATTTTCTTCTCAGCAGCCACACAGAACTCTCACACTGGACGGAGCACTGATGGGCCACGGTGTAACCTAAGATCCTTTCTCAGATAGCAAAGCTGAGTTATTCTGCCAGAGGAACTTTATGCAGAGACCTTTGGTTTACATCCCACTGCAGTGACCTCCTACCTCTTACCTGTCAGGGCATCTAAAACATATGGTATGTGAGCCAAGGTGTCCACGTGATCTGGGATGGCCTCATTGTCTTCTAAGCTAGCTTTGTTGGGCCCCTGGGGTGCCAGTTACCTTAGACAGGTTCAGGGAGCAGAGAGGACAGTCTGTTCTGATTGTCCAAATTCTAGGACACTGTATAGTCCCGGGCAGGTGTAGAAATTTCAAAAGGACAATGGGCCACAGGACAGAGGAGGCATGACCTCTCTTCAGTTTTCCTGCTCAGAAGGTGGAGAAGTCAGGTGAGGCCCAGGGCCAAGGCCCTATAATAAGAGCTGGTTCTTATTCTCCCAATTACTTTGCAGCAAGAGACACGACTCAGGTCACGGCGTGGTGCTGTTGTGGTGTGGGTGCAAGGTGCCCCCTAAAAGCTCTTATGTTCACGCAGGAATCCGCAGGGTGAAATGACTGGACTGAGAGCTGCAGCCTCAGCAGTCCATCCTAATGGGCTGATGGGGTCCCAGTGACTGCAGGCAGGTAGGGTGTGGCTGGAAGAGGTGGGTCACTGGGGGTGTGCCCTGGAAGGGTGCATCGTCCCTGTGGCCCCTTGGTCCCCTCTCTCCTCCTCTGCCTTCCTCCTCCCTGTCTGCTTCCTGGCTGCCATGAGCTGAGCAGTTTCCCTTAGCTGGGACCTGGTGTCATGATGTCCTGCTTTGCCATGGGCCCAGAGCAATGAAACTTTCTAACCATGAACTGAGATCTCTGAAACTGAGCTCCAAATAAACTTTTCCTCCTCTAAATTTTTCCTATCAGGTATTTTGGTCACAGTGACGAAAAGCTGACTAACACAAGTGGGAAAGTGTCCCAGAGGTGGGACGGGTTCCCAAGCCCTGGCTCCATATTCTCTTAGGGACGTGGTCTGTAGACCAGTGCTTCCCAAATCTAGCTGGAACTCAGGTTTCGAAAGCCTTTGTTCTCACACTAGTTCTGCCCACGACCTAACCTCATAGAACTAGAATCACAATGTGAGGGGTTAGTGACCAGAACCTGCCTGGGATCCAGCTCTCCAGGTAATTCTGATGCAAACAGGGGGCAGGGACCATTCTGCAGTGTCCTGCTATGGAGAACCTGTCTGCTCCACACAGTCAAGCCACTGGGAATCAGTCCTGCCTTCTTCTGAAGGACACCATGAGAGACGTGCATCTGGGCTCAGGAGGAAAAGGAGCAGGAGGAGTTCCCGAGCCCGGGGCCACCTAGCCTGACTCCAAGTGAGGACACTGGGGCTGTAAAGAAAGCCCCAGGAGGTGAGGAACTGTTCCCTGGTTCCCTCAGGTAACCCCAGGGAAAACCTGAGGGAAGGGGAGGGTGTTGGCCAAAGGCAGGGACATCTAGGCATTTCTGTCCTTTTTTAAAAAAGCCACTTAGAAGTGGGAGGCGGGAGAACTTCTCTAGTGTTTCTCCAGCCTCTAGTGGTCTTCTCCCCAATAAACAAGGAGCTCAACAAAATGACCTCTAAGGTTCCGGTCTCCTCTGACATTCTACGGCACCAACACCTAACACGTGTCTTCCAAGGGTTCCAGAGGACAGAACTGGCCCTGTGGCCAAGCTTCTTGACATGCATGATGAATCAAGAATATGTGCTCACCTACTCTGGCACATGAATGAAATGATACATTACATTAGGATGGCCTCGAAACCTGATTCATCAGAGAAGAACACATGAAAAATCTCCATCTTGAACATGCTCACTGCTCAAAGGAATGTGCTGCTAGTCCTTGTGAATGTGAACCCTCCTTTCAATGCTGATGCTGAGCTTGGACATTTCCTTGTTGGCAAAACGTGACACATCATCCCTTACTGCCGCAGGCCTGGAGATGGAAGCCCGTGTTCCCTGGGATGCTAAGAGACAATTCAGGGGACATAAAACGCATCCCCAGCCTCGGGGGTCAGACAGACGGGGATTAAAATTCCAGCTCTGTCACTGAGAGTTGGAGAAGGAACAAGACTCCCCTGAGCCTTACGGCAGTGGTTCTCCATGTGAAAAATGGGGACATTACCAACCAGTTCAAGGAGGATTATTAGTAAGACCTTTTTTGTTTGGTTTAACATGCAGATGTGACTGTAGTGTCGCTGAGTGAGGCTCCCCAGTGGTCCCATCGCCCTGGGGTCCAGTCTGGACTTCTCCCGGGGATGGTGCACCAGATCTGCAGGCTCGGGGCTGCCCCCTCCCTTCAGCTCCCTGAACTGCAGCCTCTGGGCCTTGCTCATCTCCACCCTCCGGAGAATCTCCCCTCCCCGGGTCTGAGAAGCTCCTCGCCGGTTCATGAGGATCTGCACTCAGAGGCCACTTCTTTAGAACAGGCCTCCTGGGCATTGCAGTCTGCAGCATGTCCCCTCTGCTGGGCTTTCATTTATGCCACGTTCTTGTGGCCTGGCCACAATCTGTCATGAGATGTCTCTGTAGGGCTCTGCTCAGAGCCCACCTCCTCTCCAGCCCTCAAGCGACACGACCGTGGGCCATCACTGGTTAATCCACACCTTACGCAAGACCTGGTATAGAGGAGGCGCTCACAGCACCTTCACTGCTCAGATAAAGAATGTGCACAGGCCCGGCACAGGGCATTGCTCAGTGGAGGCCTCAGCATTGAAGGTCGGCGCCAGGCTGACCGTGCTTACCTCGATCTGCGCCGTGTGCTTGGCATAGAACTCCAGAGCTTCGTCTCCATCCACCTGGCCGCCAGGCTTCAGCATGGTCTGAAGTTCTTTGTTGTGCCGAGCCAACTAGAACGCAAGTACAGAAACACAGGGGCGACGTCTCCACAACAGGAATGCATGAGCTCTTTCTAGCTACAAACAGTGCACTGTTTGAGTTTCAAACAGTGCATTGCAACCAGCAGCAAGCAGAGGGCAAAGGAGCTGGGAGGCTTGCTACCTTCTCTCTAGGTGCCTCTGCACAGGGGTCATTTGGAGAGCCTGGTAGAAAAGTCCTAGAAGCTCATACAGGGTCCTTGCTTCCCCTTGATTTCATTTCTTTTCTTTTTTTCAGGGGGTGGGGGTAGCAGAGATTTAACCCAAAGGGACTTGGCCTCTGAGTCAGATCCCCAGCCCTTTTCATTTGTTATTTTGAGACAGGGTCTCGCTAATTGCTGAGGCTGGCTTTGAACTGGTGATCCTCCTGCCTTGGCCTCTGGAGCCGCTGGGATTACAGGCCGTGCCACTGCATGAGGGTCCCCTGATTTCTATTTAGACAGGAGGGTTTTCTGGACAGTCCTGCAGAGCCTCCATGTGGAATGTTCAGAAGCCCTTTTGGAGGTCAGATGCTAATCATGGGGTAGAAATGGGGTGGGGACCTACCAACCTCGGGCCCAACCCCATCATTGCTTATAGCCAGGTCTCTGCTCGAGGGACAAAGGGGACAGGAAACAGGAGCTGAGTTATGGCCTGCCCAGACCCCCCCCAAAAATCCAAGAGACATCAGCACCCAGAAAGAGGAGGATTAAGAACCTCCTACAGGGAACAGGATTAAGAAAGGAGACACTGGGATGCCAGGGCACGGGGCATCACCCTATCCCCCAAGGCAGAAGGAAGTCCTAATGACAAGTTCCCACGGACCTCACATACGGCTGGGGGGGAAGCTGGAGTTTACTCCTTTAGGTTGTTGAGAAACCTGGCTGTATTTATAAGAAAGGCTGGGACGCCTTTCACAGGACTCCAGACGACATCATAAACCACCGACTGTTACTGCCCAGGGGTGGGTGCTTATAAGGGGGATTTCCAAGTCTGTGACCCCAGCACAGAAAAGTCCTGGGCCTCAGATCAGATGCCAAAACTCCCGGGAGCCACACTCTCATGAGTGCAGCCGGCCCTCAGAGAAGGCTGTCAAGGAGGGCCAGTCCCAGGCCCACAGCCCTCAGGGAAGGCCCTTGGGCTTGGAGTGGTGGCCTTGGGCGCAGAGTCTGCAGGGGCGTAGGAGCTCATACCTGGTGGGCTAATATGTAGATGTTGTGCCCCACGTTCCTGGGGGAGGCAGCTCCATCCTCACCGTTTTCTCCATCCTCAAATTCGACTTCGCCTTGCATGTAGGCCTTCTTGATCACTTCCACCTGCAAGAAGGGCCGAGGGGACCCTCTGAAGACTGGCGTCTGTAGCACCCAGGTGGTAATCTCCCCTCCCGGGCAGATGCTGCTCACCCAGTGCAGCAGCATTTCCTAGCGGGCTTGGAACTCAGCCTCAGAATCCTTCCTAACACTGCTGCAAGCAATCGAGACCTTTACCCTCCACAGACAAGGAAGCAAATTCATTCACTCTACTTGGAGCAAGAGATATTCTATGGCTCCTAATTTAAAAGGGGGCAATGGCTATAAAAGCACTTTGAAAAGGCAAATATGATACAAATGTAAGTTAGAAGCCTGAATTTTCCTATCTCCACATTTCTTTCCATCAACTCTCCCTAATCCCAATTTTGTCCTTTTAGGAAAAATCTGCTAAGAAATCCATTTGTTTTTAGAACAGCTTGTTTTCTTTTCTTTTTTTTTTTTTGGTGCTGGGGATTGAACCCAGGGTCACTCCACCACTGAGCTACACCTCCGGCCCTTTTTGCAACAGGTCTTGCTAAATTGCTGAGGCTGGCCTCAAACTTGTGATCCTCCTGAGTCACTGGAATGTGCATAACCGTGCCTGGCTGTGAAATATTTTTCTTATTCAGTTCCCTTCCCCCACAAGCCTACACTATGTGAAAATAATAGACAACTAGTAACATCTATTGACCGCTTCTCCTTGGTGCCAGGCACCGTGCTTACTATTTTCATGTTCTTTTTAAAAATGTAATGCTCATAGGGCTGAGGCTCTAGTTCACTCGGTAGAGTGCTTGCCTCGCATGCGCAAGGCCCTGGGTTCAATCCCCAGCACCACCAAAAAAAAAAAAAAATTTAATGCTCACAAACATTTTATAAAGTTATCAGAGGTTTCATTTCGTTATGGACAAAGACAGTAAGAGAAAAGAACACTGATGAAGTACAGTTAATGAGCTCAGACGCCTTCACAGTGCCACAGCTCTGTCCCTGGTTCTATGCACCTGGCTTGGCTCATGCCCCCAGCATCCTGGAGCCTTTCTGTCCCTATCTTGCTATTTCCACTCACCTCATCTCCCAGGGAGCAGGAGCTGAGTCTGCCTGTATCCAGACCCTGCCCTAGTGCCCAGCACGGTGCCCTGGCTGATGGAGGGCCTGGCCAGGATTTATTAAATGAACAAATTGTTCAGGATTTCATCATTTAAAGAGTAAGAACACCTCCACCCCCTAAGTCGTACGAAAGATTCATTTTTTTTGTTTGCTGGTGTTTTGGCTTTTTTGATGGTTCAGAAGGCAGTTTAGCCACAAGGCAGAAATCTGGAATTATTTCTCATTACCCAAAATCAAGCATGTGGAGAGCCACCCATTTCTGCACCGAGGCCAGTTCAGGCACTGGGTTGAACTTTGGAGACAAAGCCTCCTTCTCTGAGCTTTGATTCCTGCCAAGTTCCTTCCAATATCCAATCAGGCAGACAGCATGTTGTGTAGGATGCAGGGCCACAACACGCACAGTGCACACATGCACACACACTCTGGATATCTGAGCGTCCCTCTATCTAGACACTTAGAGCCATGTTTGTTCCAGGAAGTCCGACTCCTCCCGTGAGCCAGAATGATGTTCTCCAAGCACAACGGGGCCAACCAGGAACTAGAGGCAGCCACAGCATGGGGTGCTGACATTTCCCCACCCAGGACAGGCCGAAGAGCCGGGTGCTTTCTTAGTTCAGGAACGGGATCTCTGCAAGGTCATGCTGACCCTACTCAAGAAAGATAACCCCAAGTCCCCAGCACTCCCAGTTATACAAGCTGTTACGCAAACGCACAGAGGACTCCCAGCTCGGGCTGAGACCTTACTCCCTGACCTCGGAGATCAAAGAACTGGGCTGCTCTTAACTTTATTTAAAGAAATACATGAAGGGACTTTGGCCTGTGCACATCTAGGTCAGCAGGAGGCAGAGCTGTTTTAATGCCCTCATTTAAGTCTGTCAGCTGCAGTTTGTTTGTATGGGGAAAAGTCCAAAAAGAGAGCTCTGCCCTCTGCTCATGTCACCATCTCTGAACGCTCCTCGTCTGACAGTCTGCAGCCCCAACTCCAACCTCGAAGTCACAGCCCCCTGTGAATATCACCCCTCAAAAATAAACCAGATCGTATTTTCTCCAAAGAAAACTCAAGCCAAGAAAGCACGCCAGCCATCCAAGAAACTTCTCTTCCATTGTCCAGACCACTGGCAACAAGAACGGATGTGATCTCGTCACCCCCAAAGACGTGGCAAAAACATCAGCAAAGAATAGGAGTGAGCAGAAAAGGAGCTTCGATTCACAGAGGACTATCATGTGTCAGGCACTGCACTAGGTTAGATGTGAACCTTCTCATCTAGTCTTCAAAACAACGCTTTGGCCCAGGTGACTTCATCTTTCTTTTATGAATCAGGGAAGTGTGAGGTCGGAGAGGTCAAATGGCTGCCAAAACCTCACAGTAATGCATCTGAACTTGGCCAGTGAACTTGACCATGCTCTGCACCCAGTCCTCCATGAGTGGAAAACAGAGAGGGTGGCTTCTGGATGCTCCAGGGACAGGGAACACATGTCCAGTGCCCTACGCTTCACCTCCCCACCCGCTCAGGGGCCTGAATTGCGAGTTTTCTTCATCCTTCTGGTTTGAGGAATCTTGAAGAAAGCTTCCTTGAGCAGGTCCCAGGTGCTGCTTTGATGTTCCCAACTCACCAGCTCCTTCGGCCGCATGTTGTAGAGGATCCTCTCGGCATTCTCACTGTCGTGCCTGCTCTCCATGATGGCCAGCAGCAACTTGGAAGCATTGTTCTAGTTGGAGAAAAGCCAGGGTGAGAGGCAGGGGAGATGTGAGGGCGGGGGACTCAGGTGTGCAGCCTGGCTAGACAGACAGGCATCCACCTGGTGGGGAGAGGACAGCACAGACGCTCTGCACCAGGCAGAGGAGGTGCTACCTTCAGACCCTGCGACATGCACACAATCCGATTCAGGTCAAAGAGATGCAGGTGTCAGCTAATGGAAGACTAGCAAGTATTGGAATTCTAAACCTGGGTGCTGGCGGGTGCCAGTCACCCCCTAGTCTCCATGGGGGATCAGTCCCAGGACCCCTGGGGAACCAAAACCCAGGGATGCTCAGGTCCCTTATAGAAAATGGCATGGTCTGTGCCTATAACTGAGAACATCCTTCCAAATACTTCTTCTCTGGACTATTTATGATAATACATAACACAACGTAAAGTATAAGGTCAATAATTGTTGCTGTGCTCTATTTTTTTTAGGAAATAATAACAAAAAAAGACTGTACATTTTCAGCACAGGTCCATTTATTTTTCCTCAAATATTTTTGATCCTGTGGTTGGCTGACCCTGCAGATATTGAGAGGCACACGTGGAGGCCTGACTGGGCTGTCACTCTTGGTGACAGGGCTGTGCACAGGCCCATGCCGACTTGATGCTCCTGAGGAGTGGAGTGGCAAGTTCTCTGCAGGGGCAGATGAGTGTAGAGACACTGCTGCTCAGCCCTGCAGGCCAGAGAAGACAGGCAACCAGGATAGTTCTTCGTGGTCTGAAAATATTTCCATCAGTACCCATAACTCCAAATACCATGAGAGTATAACTAACACACTTAACCAGAGTGACCCAGAGGAACACTGCCTGCCTGCCAAGCTCTGTGTTCCCATCCTGTTAACAGTGCCCATGTGGCTACACCCTGTGGATCTTGGCTTGACCTCACTTGAGGTCCTGGGCCACAAGGATTTGTATGCTTTTTGTTTATAGGACTCCAAAGATCTTGGCTTTTTTTTTTTTTGGGGGGGGGGGTGTTCCTCCCCAAGCTTCACAGCAGCTCAGTTAGGTTGCTGTGCTGTCATAGGACAGAACTTTCTATAATTATCCTCAGATCCTCAGACTGTTGAATTAGTGGAACAGGTCACTGAAATGCTGCCCTGGAGCACATGAATGTCTCAGGGTAGTCCAGTGGCTGATAAACGGTGTGTTTGCACGATGCTCAAATCAGGTGTAAAGCAAAATTTCTCAAAAGGAGATAAAAGCACTGCCCCCACCCCCCAAAAAATCCATATACCCAAATCAACTAATTACACTCTCCACTGAAGTACTAAAGAAAAAATAAAAATAACTGTGCCTTCCATGCAGCAAACACAGAGCAGTTTTCCAGTGAACGCTGTAGTTCTGGGCCCTTCCATGATAATGATGAAGTGCTCAGTGCTGTATGTGGCTGTAAGCAAGGGTACAGATCTCAACTCGCCCCAACATGGGGACAGCTAGGAGGAAATGTGCTCAGTGACAATAACACCTTTGCACACACCACGGTGGGTTTCAAGTATAAGTTTCAGAAGTGAACCTCTGGATTTTTTTGGGGGGTGGGGGGTGGGTAGGGTGCTAGGAATGGAACCCAGGGTCTCGTGCATGCTAGGCAAGTGGTCTACTGCTGCTCTACACCCCAAGTCCTAATTCTTTGGATTCTGTGAGAACCTTTGGAACCTCAAAGCAAGGGGAGAGTTTGGGGGCTCACTCAAGAAGTCACTTTCTGGGATGGTATATGAGTTGTTCACATATTTCAAAACCAGATTATAAACCCTGCAGCTTAGGGACCTTGAAAGCACTGCTTTTACTCTGAAAAGCTACTTCAGTGTTTACAGAGAGTCAAAAGCTGGTGGTGCTTTCGTATCAACTACGTGAAGGCTTCCATCCACACATGGGTCATCATGGGCCTGAAGGCACATTCTCAGTGTACTGTCCTTACTTTAAACATTACTAGCCACCCTTCTGCTAATTCAGGACTCAATTTTTTAAAAAATGTATTATCCTGATTAAGTAAAAATGGATTTTTTGAGGTACTAGATTGGTTGAAGCTTAGTACAACCAAACCTATCCTTTTTCCTCAAAGGGGGGAAAATCTAGAAACCCCAGAGAGAAGAATCTTTCCATCGTCTCCCAGCCTGTAGCTTTTGGAATGCGGGCTTCTGGTTCTTGGATGCCAGGTTCGCTTCTCATCTCTGAGTGACATGTGACCCAACAATTGAAAAGCTGGTACCTGTCCCAAGGCCCTTATTTGGATAGTGCCACATTTCAGTGAGTACATGTGACTTGGCTCTTTCATGCAGCTCAACAGAACCGCCACTACTACCTAGCTCAGGACCCTGATTGTGTCACGATGCAGCACCAGCACCCCTCCTCTCTCAGGGCTCTCAAACTTGCCTTCAGTTCTAACACGAGGTCCATGCGCTTCTTCCCCAGAGGGTTGATGTCGTTGAGGATCAGGGCTGTGATGATGTCGATGCCATTGGACTCGTGGGTGGCGATGCAGTTCTGGGCAGAGAGACACACAGACATTCACACAAATGCCGGACGTAAATCAGAGGTCAAAGGCCAACAGGCTCAGCGGCTATTTCAACACAATGTCTGCTGCTCCCAGCAATGTCTCTAGGGGAGGGCTGCAATTTTCCGTGAGAAAGTGGTAAAAATAAAAGACAGATGAAAATCTCTAGTTTCAGAATTAACAGTAAACAGCAGGAAAGTCCCCATGCATGCTAACTGATAAATTGGTCTCATCTGATCCAAATAGTGCCGTGCAGTAAGCTTTTGTTCTTAAAAGGAAAATACAGTGCGTGACTGATACCAGGGTTTGAGCCCTTTTTCCCCTTTTAAAGTGTATTCCATTCCCCCTGACGTCACTCATTTTGTTTTGGTGTCTTTGCTTAAGGCGTAAGTTTGGAAAGCAAACTTCTGGTTTAATTCACACAATATCAAAATTAATCATCTTGCCAAAGCACAACCCCCTGCAGCCTCTTGCTTTCCAGGCCTCTGTTTGGCAGAAAGGCAAACCCAAGGTTTTAAGGAAATTCCCTGCAATGTCAAAGACAGCCTTTCCCTGAAGCCAGGGGCATTTCTGTGCTCCTTCTCCTAGCTAGGACTGCACCATCGGCTCCATCAGGACACCAGGAGGGGAAAGCAGACCTAGCAAAACACTATTCTCACATTCCCAGGCGACCAAGGCCAGGTTTTATGCAGGCCACGAGACGTCTGTGGAAAACTATTCTCCTTGGAGTGAAGGTCCTGTCTCTCCAGGTAACCAGCACTGCACGCCTTCCCGGCCACCTGAAGACTTGCTCTGCCCACCCCAGCCAGAAAGGAGCTCCAGCATGGAGTTGTGAATCACACTCGGTCCCGCACCAAGGCTCAAACTCACCCCCTCTTCAAGATGCCACCTACAAGCCACGACCCTACCAGGAAGAGAAGTTCCGGGCTCCATTCCACAGCACACCTCCAGGGGCCAGAGACCCATCTGCTTTGCCTCAATATCCACAGCGTTATCATGGCAACTAGAAATGTCCTCATGTTGCTTTCAAGCTGTTTTGTGTGGAGACCTTGTCTCTAAGTTCACATCCCCTTCAAATAGCCTCTTTTTAATCTTTCCTGGTATTTACAATAAATCACCATTTTTCTGGTGCTAATGTAGCCCCCCTCTTCCACTTTATCACACCGACCCCTAAAAAGTCAAGTTAGAGCTGAATGTCCAACCAAACCAAACCAACCCAAGAGGCCAAGGTCAAGCCCTCCAGAGTCTATCATTAGGTGAAGTTCTGAAGGCTGACAAAGTGGGAGCAGTCTTTCCACCTCCAGTCCCACCGACTCCCTAGGGCAGCAGACAGATGTGAGGTGACTTCTGAACCAGCTTCTTTTTTTCCCCCGTATTTCTATCGGTGTGTTTTAACCATATCTAACGGCAAGACTTGTTGTTACCTATCTGTACATGCACAAAACAAAACCATATAATTTGGCCAACATCATTTCCCATTTCCTCTCCTCCACTGATCTCCCTTCCGTTTTCATGAGACCTGAACTAGTCTCATCAACACTTCCAAAATGATAAAGCAATTGCAGATGGAATCACCTGGTTTTCATGGCAAGGTCCCTGACAGTATTCAGTCAGACTTTCCAGGGTTTGGTTGATAAGCGCGACATTCTTCTCGTTGATGTACAGTCCAAGGAGCCCAAGGCCACCAGTCGTGCTCCCACAAATACAGTCCAGAAACTGCAGCGTCTCACACACCAAATTGTAGTTGGTCTTGTTATTTTGGCAACGAAGGAAGTTCTGCAGGTGGAGGTGGGGGAGAGAAGAGGGTCAGGGTCATTGCCATGCTGACAATCTGTAACAGGTTGTGCCCTGGACTGGTCAGCAATTAGGCAGCCAGATGCAGCATGGGATAGAAGAGTCTGTATGATTCCCATGATGGTCCACTAACCATGATGGACTTAGTGAGTGGCAATGGCCACGAATGGTGTGGCTTGCTCTCCAGGGTATCTGCTTGGGATACAGTGGAGGAGGGCTTCTCCTTGTAGTCCAGTTCCAACTCTTCCAATCTTTTCGAGTTCTCATTTCTCCATTTAATTCTTACCCCTCTGTACCCCTCCCTCTACCAACCTCCCACTCAGTGACGTCTGACATTTTAAAGGTGGTTCAAAACTACACTAGGATTTCATCTCCCTCTAGTCAGAATTCCAACCATCAAGAACACAAACAGTAATAAGCATTGGTGAGCACTGGGGAAAAAGGTACACGTGTACATTGTTGGTGGGACTGCGAATTAGTACAACCACCCTGGAAAGCCATACGGAGACTCCTCAAAAAACCAGGAATGGAACTACCACATGACCCAGCTATCCCACTCCTCTCTCTATACCTAAAAGAAGTAAAACCAACAGACCATGGTGACACACAACACGTGTGTGAGGGCTTACAGGAGCACAATTCCCACCAGCCAAGCTAGAACCAGCCCAGATGCCCATCAACAGATGCATGGGTCAAGACAATGTGGTGTATGTACACAATACACAATGGAGTTTTAGTCAGCCATAGAGAAGAATGAAATTATGGCATTTGGAAAAAAAAGAAAAAAGGGATGGCAATGTAGAACATCATGTTAAGTGAAATAAGCCAGATTCAGAATGTCAAGGGCTGAATGTTTTCTATCATCTGTGGAAGCCAGAGAGAAATAAGGGAAAAAAGTGTGTATGCGTGTGTGTGTGTGTGTGTGTGTGTGTGTGTGTAAAGATATCAAGACAGGGAAGATAAGAGGAGCAGAAGAAGGAAATTGGGGGGAAGGGAAGAAAGGTGGGAAAAGCAGAATGAAGGTAGGAAAATGACACTGTGTGTGTATATAAATCTACCACAGTGAATTCCACCTTTGTGCATCTGTATCACTACCAAGAGCCAATCAAAATAAATTTAGATAAAGGAGTGAAAGGAAGACCAAGAGGGTAGAGGAAGGAGAATATCAAGGGAGGGAGGAGGGAGAAGGAAAGGTAGAGGACTTGGGAATGAAATGGAGTATATCAAATACCCTGCACGTATTATTTTTTTTTTTTCCAAAATGAACCCAACTCTTATATATAACTGTAATGCACTAAGAAAAGAAAAAAAAGAGTTGATGGTGCGGCCTGGGTGCTGAACCCGCAGAGCCTAGCAGTGGGGACAGTTCCCCACGGTACTAGATGTTACAGGTGGTTTATGGGCCATGGAGGGAGCCTGGATTTCCTGCTTGGCCATTCCCATTCTTAAAGCACGGGGAAATAATAAGCGTGATATTCTTCATCTCACGGTTATAAAAGTGACACCTTATTTACTGCAGAAAATGAAAAACAGAAAAAGATTAAAATCACAAGATGACATGAACATAACCTCTGACTTGGTAATTCCACGTTTGTGAAATGCTCATTTTTACTAACAAAGTATGTGCATGGGGTGCTCACCACAGCACTGTTGATAATGGTGAAGAACTATAAGTAACCTCAAGGAGCCGGGTGTGGTGGCACACGCCTCTACTCCCCCCAGCTTGGGAGGCTGAGGCAGGAGGATCACGAATTCAAAGCCAGCCTCAGCGACTTAGTGAGACCCTGTCTCAAAATGAAAAATCATAATTTTCAAAAGACACTGGGGATGTGGCCCCCGAGTTCAATTCCTGCTATAAAAAACAGAACAAACAAACAAAAACCTCAATGCCTACCAACTGAGGTGTAGTTAAAAATAAGTCAGGGGCTGGGGTTGTGGCTCAGTGGTAGAGTGCTTGCTTGGCTTGTATGAAGCCCTGGGTTCAATTCTCAGCATCACATACAAATAAATAAATAAATAGAGGTCCATCTATGGCTTAAAATAAATAAATAAAGACACACTACCCATATCATTCATGGTTGTAAACTAGAAAGACCAAGTCGATCAATGTGTGTCATAAGGAAAGATCTAGGGCACACTGTTAAGTTAAAAAGAAATTGGCAAATAGGTTAATTGGTGACACAAACACATTTGTATTAAATGTTTCCTTTTAAATATAAAGAAAAAAGACTGAGATGATGCTTCTTGGATAGGAGAAAGAGAAGTCTGAACTAAAACTATTTTTTTATTCCTTCTATGCACTTTTTATTTTTTTATGATTGTAATGCATTCCACTATTGTCATGTATGTAAGAAATAAAAAAAAAAAAACAACTAAACGTGTATTTTTGTTTGAACATTTATAAAGAGGATATATTCACATATTCCTGAAGTCAAGGATTGTTTTTCTCAGGACCACAGGCAGCCAGAGGAGGGTTTCAGACCCATTTTACCCACTCCTCTGGGAGGGTGCTGTTGCCTCAGGGCCTGGAGGAGCCCCTGGCCAGGTCTGGTGGAGGAGCGATGGGTGGAGAGGGCCTCCTTCTCAGCAGCTCCTTCAAATTCCAGTCACTGTTCCCACCACACCCTGCTCTGCTCAGTGGGGCCACCTGAATGACCACACCTTCTCTGCTTGGTGACAGCAGGGTTCCCACCACGCCCCTCTCTGCATTGAGCTTGCTGCTCATCAAGCACTCTGTTCTTTTGCTTCTGGGGCTCCAACTGAGCCATCCCCCTGCCTCCTCCTCCTCTAGGATGTGGCCAGCTCCCAGATGCTACAGCCCCACCTCTGTGACATAGCTCTAGACGGCTCTCCCCAGAACCATATTGACAGCACTGAGTCCCCAGGCAGCTGGCACGGGGGCTGGTGCCTCCTGGGCACTTTACAAATGCTGGCTGAATCTCTGCATTCCATGGGACAGAGGAAGGAAAGGGCCCTGGGGAAGCCGCCTGCTAATATTTCACCCATGTTTCCAGCTCCCCATGGAGGCCAGCTAGCTGCCCTTTCTCCAAAGCCTGTCCCATTTCCCAGGGTTTCTGAGGTGACTTGCTGGAACCTCCCATTCCCTAATTCAGACCCCTGTCCTCTTGTCCTCTACAAACACAGAGGGATGCTGTCAGTGCACCCAGGGGCTGCTCCCACGTGCTGCCAGTACCAGCCACCTGCTGTGCTGGAGAAGTCTTCCCATCAGCCAGGCCAGGCAGAGAGAGAGTAAGCAGGGAAGGGCAGGGAAAGAAGCGAAGGCCCCAAGCCCAGGCTTAAGTCTACCCAGAGATCTGGACCTGCTTTCCTTAGAGCAGCAACTGCCACTTGGCACAAACTCCGCAGCTGCCTCTCTACTGCACATTTACCAACAGCAAAGTTAAGGTTGTACACAGGACAAGAGGCCCTGGGCAGGAGCCCAGGGGCTGCCACTTCAGAAGGCCCATTCCTTCTCTCAAGTCAATCTGCGCTTCTCAAACCAGGGAGCCAGAAACCCCTCCAGAGACAACTCCACCTCCCTGGGACCCACTGCCCGGACGGAATGCTACAAACAGGTGTCAGTCACAAGAGTGGATCCCCACGGAAAACCATCACAGGGGAACTGGACTCCTGAAAATCTGATTTCACTGGGGCAAGTTCACCACCTGAAGGATTTCGTGGAAGGTGTTTTTGTTTGTTTGGTGGCCCTGGGAAATGAACCCGGGCACTCTCCCACTGAGCCACATCCTTGGTCCTTGTCATCCTCCTGCCTCAGTCTCTCCAGTAGCTGGGTTTACGGGTGTGTGCCACCACACCCAGCCTGACTTTGTGGGAGTTTTGACCTACATCCTTGTGAACCCTGGGTCCAGTTCACTGGCTTTCTCAGTGGGCCTGTGGAACCTTGGGAGAGGTCCCTGGAATGCCCCCACCTTCCAGGGCTCTTACAGATGGATGGGGGAACTCTAGCACTCTCTGGTTTCCACTCTGAACAGAGCAGCTTTACTCTCATCTGCTCAGTGCATTTCTGCATAAATGTTCTTCATACAAAGGATTCTATGGCTTAAAAAAAAAAAGGAATTTGAAAGCACCAAATTGGATCATCTTTATATACCTTGAAATTAAATTACCAGGTCTTTTTTTTCCCCAATATATGAAAATATCTTTTACCCCCTCCCCACAGCACCGTATCCCACAGAGCTGCAGACAGGAGAATCAAGTTCTGGAAAGACTTCATTAGGAGGAGCTTCTGCCTGTGGGCTTCCTGGGGCGCTAGTCTGAAGGACAGTTGTGGGAAGAGCTACAGTATGAAACTACAATTCTGAAGACTTCCAAATAAGAAATAATGAATTTTAGGCCTCACTCTACCCCCACTGCGGAGGAGGGCGAATGTGCTGGCGAGGGAGAGCTCGGGAGGCGGAGAGCAGGGCAGGGGCACCACCCAGGACCATACTGGGGAGGCTTGCGGCTCTGCCCTTGGGTGGCAGGAGGGTCCACCTGGGCAGCCCTGGGCGTGGTGAGCGCAGAACTCCCACATCAGCACCTCTGAGAAGCCTTCCTGGGCTGCGCACACGGGGTGGCCCCCTTCCTCTGACCCAGCGAATGCCCTATGATGAATTCGTGTAACACCCAGCACTGGCTGCCATCTCTGGTGGGCCCAGGGGCTCCCGACCAGACGAGGTCCCGTCACCAGGTACCCCATAACTGTTCACTGGCACAATCATCCCATCCCTGCTTCCCTACTGGTGCCCACTGGTGATGTCACACAGAGGAGCAGCACAGGGAACTGTCACTATGCTTAGTCTAGAAATGGCCCCAGAAGCAGGGTGGGCCCTTTACCCACAAAGATGCCACACCCAGCCACCTTGGCTCTCCAGGGCACTAACTCCACCTTCACAGGCCTCCTTCAGAATTAACGGGGTCCCTTATAAGACAGAGGGGCAGATGACATCTGGGCACAGTCACTTTTCAGACAGTGGGACCAGCTAACTAGGCGACAGTCACACCTGGGCCTCGGGGCAGGAGCGTCTTGCTCCACTTGACTGAGCCACGCAGGTCCAACCAGGACTAAGGTGCTCTCGGCCACAGGAAGGGAGCTTGCAGAGGGGCTAGAAAACTGACAGGTGGGATCCCACATGCAGGGGTTGACAGAGAGCACGAAGGTCAATGGCTGACATCAACCAGCAGCAGGAGAAAGACCCCGGCCCCGTCTGGAGGGCCTCTGCCTCAGCCACTCACACCCCCTGGCCCTGCGGGTTCAGCATGGCCACCTGCGGAGTCTGTGGGCAACCTCTTCCTTTTAAGTCGTGGGTCAGACTTGGCCAGACAATGACCTCAGATCTGAGATGCTTTTTCCAAATTCTGGCTCTTCCTTCACTCCTCTGCCTTCCTCCATAACAACAGTCCTTCCTACCTGGCTGATCCCCACGGAGATTGGGTGGCAGCAACTCACAGTGGCAACACCAAATGATCTGCCACAGTCAATGTGTGACAGGCCATTGCGTCACCTGTGGGAAAGCTAGCGATGGCAGTACTTATAGGTGACACCTTGCCCTTGCCAGATGTGACTAGTGTCATTTCAGCCTCCTACTGTTTTTTCCCCTTTTATATTCTAAGCTCAGAAACTCCCAGTGCTGACTGTGATCCTGGGAGGAAGCATTCCACGTGGGAGGAGCTGTCCAACACCTTTTCCTTATTCATCCTCCCTCCATTCAGGCAAACGCAGGTGGTGTCCTTGGGCTCAAGAGTTGGCAGCCAACCCAGGCAGTGGCCATGGGCCCAGGGCTCCAGGATGCTCTCCTGGGCGGGACTGGGCCTCCACGTACCTGGGCCCATTTGGAAGAAAAAGGCCAGTCTCTGGAACCCAGCTGTGGCACTTTGGCTGGGAAACTCTGCAAGGGAGTTAGCGAGCCTCTGATGCAGCGTGTGGTCAGCAGCTCCGGCCTTGGGACACCTGGGTCCAAGCCCCTGTCCTGCCCTCCCTCCCGCATCCTCTCTCTGAAGTACGACAAAGTATGTAGTTACCCAAAGCATGGCACCCAGGGCACTCAGAAGACCCAATAAACCTTGGCTATGGTTATCATCCCCAAACAAGAAATGAACAAAGGATTTCCAAGAGCAACGATTCCTGACTATCTGTGGAAACTCTGGAAGGCAACTACTCCATTCAACTGGCAGCCATGCTTTGCTTGAGGATGGGGATAAGTGCTGAGAAACAAGATGTTAGGCAATCACTTGGTGCCAGCGTCACAGAATACACTCATGTAAACCCAGATGGCACAGTCTACTACCCTCCCGGGGCAGATGGCACCTACCATCGCGGGTATGGTCTGCCACTGACCGAGGTAACGTTGTGCAGCGTGCGACTGAGTTCATGAGAACTTTCTATGCACCTGATTTTGTAAGGCTAACATCTTCGATTTTTACTTGAGACCCTAGATGCTGCACGGCGACAGGCTACAAGATCCCCTCACCCACAGGCACCTCCCCTGGATGGGGACCGAGGCCTGGAGACTCCAAAGTCAGCCATCCACGCTGCAGCTCAAGCTAGCTATCCGCACGAGAGGTGCTTAAGTGTGGGAGGAGGGTGGCTGATGTCCCTCACCTGCCTGGGCCCTCACCTGCAGGTCTCGGTTGTGGTTTTCGCAGAGTAGCTGCAGGAAGCGCAGGATGGGCTGCATGATGGTAATGACCGCGCTCATCTCCAGCTCATCCTTGGTCTTGTCGGTGGTGGTCTGGGTGCCCTCCCCGGACTGGTAGTGGTCGTCGGGGTCGGCCTCCCTCCGGAAGGTGGTGAAGGCTTTCCTGGTGGCAGCAGAGGCCTCCAGGAGCTGATCCCGGACCTCTTCTGTTATCTGCGTCGTGGGCTCTTTGGCTGGAAGGCAAGCATGAGATGGTCAGTACTGGACATCCTCAGGAGCGCCATTCTCCTTTCCAAAGGGACCTCAGAAACCTGGGTCTCCACTGGAGACCTGTGAGGCTGGCACAACACCCTGGGAAGCCTCAGACTCCTCTTAGTCCTTAGGCAGGATGAGGGTGGAGTGGACCCTGGCCAGCTGCTCCTGGTCCCCGTGTCCCGTCTAGGCTAGGCCCATGTCTAGAGAAGAGCTTGGTACAGCTCTGTGGACCTCACGACCAAGGCTCTGGGTCTCGGGTCCTCCTTTGCACCCTGGTGAGCACCAGTGAACTCTATCTCAGGCAGCTGGGAGAGGCTCACCATGACGCCAAGTGGTCACCTAACACTGGTGGTCCTTTGTGTGGCTTGTCCGACCCAGTCCTCAGGATCCCTGAGCTAACTGTGGCATCGTCGTTAGGAGCACAGACGGCAGTCGGATCGCCTGGGCTCAGATGCCAGCTCCACACCTTCCAGCTGCATGTCCCTAACAAGTCAAGGACCATGTCTGCGCCTCTGCTTCCTCATTGGTAAAATGGAGACAGCGTTCTACCTAGTTTGCAAGGTTGGCTTGAGCTTTAGATGAACTGAACAGGAAGAGAGGCTCTGCTATGCTTTGGATCTGCAAAGTTCCCCAGTGGGTTAAAGGCTGGATCCCCATCCCAATGTGCCATTGGAAGGTGATGGAACCTGTAAGAAGCACAGCCTCTTGGGACATCTTAGATTCACTGGGGGGATATCCTAGAGGGGGACTGGAGGGCCTTGGTCTTTTCTGTTTTTCTGCTTCTTGGCCACGAGGTAGGTGCTTCTGCTCTGTCACATGCTCCTGTCTGACATGCTGCCTTAGGACTGGACCAAAAACAAAGAGGCCAATTGGTTATGGACCAAAACTTCCAAGTTAACCTTTTATCTTTATAACCTGATTATCTAAGGTATTTGTTATAGTGACAGAAAGCTGGCTAATATATGACTAATTCATTTCAGTCTTTAGGCATCCTTCATGTTTCTTCCATTTATCCCCATTCTAGACTAGTTGTTCTCAATCAAGGGAGATGCCTTCCCCAATCCCACTCAGGGAATAACGACATTGTATCTGGAGACACATTTGGCTGAGGGTGGGGATGTGCTACTGGTATCTAATTGAGCAAAGGTCACATATGCTAATAAATACCTTATATAGCTGGGCATGGAGGCACATGCCCATAATCCCAGCAACTGGGGAGGCTAAGGAAGGAGGACCACAAGTTTAAGGCCAGCCTCAACAATTTAGCAAGACCCTGTCTGAAAATAAAAAAATAAAAAAGGGCTGGGGATGTAGCTCAGTGGTAAAGCATTCTTGGGTTCAAGCCCTAATACACTAAGAATTTTAAATAAATAAATACCCTATAATGCACAAGACAGCCCCTAAAACAAAGAAGCTTCCAAAGGTCAACAGTGCTATGGTTGAGAAATCTAGCTCTAAACTTGAAAAGCAAGACTCACAGTGGTTAATTTATTCAAGGTTGTCTGACTCCCAAAACTGTGGGTCTTCCACTCCGTGTAGCACTACTGGGAGATGACAGACAAAAAGCTCTGTCCTTTAGAAAATAAGGAGAGATCACCTGACCAAGGACAGACACTGGTAGCTTTGCTTACTTGTTTGTTTGTGTGGCACTGGGGATTGAACTCTGAGCCACATTCCCAGCACCCCCTCCCTACCCACATCTTTTTAAAATTTTGGGACAGGGCCTTGCTAAATTGCTAAGAGTCTCACTAAGTTGCTGAGGCTAGCCTCAAACTTGTGATCCTCCTGCTTCAGCCTCTGGAGTCACTGGAATTTCAGGTGTGCACCACTGTGCCCAGCTCCCTAAGACACCAGTTTTAGAGTATGCATTACTCTAAGACTGCATGGAAATGACAGGAAAAGAATATCCACAGATTCTCTACCAATAAAACCCTCAGCTTGACCAAAAAGAATGACCACAAATTTATTAAACAAGAGTAATTATGACTAGTGTCACAGGACTTCAGCTCATGTCAACTAGGGAGAATTACTTCAAAACCAGAGCAGTTGTTTTCTTCGGAGAATTCGGGTGGTGATGCATCCTAGAGTCTAAAAATGATGGAAAAAACTTACAGGAAACCAAGCCTCCTCTCCCTTTCCTAGGCCAGCAGATGGAAGATGGGGAGCATTACCTTTTTTCCGGGACGGGGCCTCCCTGTCCGCCTCGTCATCTTTCTTTTTGTTTCCCAAGTCACTGGTGTTCACAGTCACAGTTGCCTTGATTTCCTGCTGGGCCATCTTCATTCGGTCATAAAAGACCTTGAAGAATCTCTCGGACTTCTTATCTTCTGTCAACCGGCAGAAAAAGGAGTGCTGGAGGGGCAAACACACAGAGTTTCAACACTAACAGGCCCCCGTGAGCCCCACTGGCCGCCACACTGACTGGAGACCAGAGCCAGCCCCAAGCCTTGCAGAGGACCCAGGGTCGGCCCAAGGTTAAACATGGTGGCCCAACTCTCACTCTCTGGGTTGAGCATCAGAGATCGTCAACACAGAGTTCTAAACCTGTGGTGGTGGAGGAGGCACATGGGCTTTGGAAGCCTGCCCGGGGGTGGTGGGAAGACTGCAGCCTGCTGAGAGCCGCTCCTCTACTGCAAGCACACAAAACAAGGCTGTTAACAATGGAGACGGAAAATGGTTTTGGAGACGACTGCAGGGCCATCATTTGCTCGAGGAGTCCCCTGGGCTCCTCCCCAGCACAGAGCCCCGTGAACAATGCACGGATGACTCAGATGGGCCACCTGCCCCACAGGCCTCCATAACAGGTAAGGATGACACATTCTTAAGTCAGACTGAGTCAAAAGCACCCGGGGAAGGCCTGTGAGCGTAGATGCTTAGAGCTGGAGGGGCCGACGCTGGGCTGCAGCCATCTCAGAACCTTCATGGAAACAGTGGATTTTCCAGTAAGTGTCGAAGGGCAGGGAAGAGTGGTTAGAGGAAGAAGCTCCAAATGCACAGGTAGCCCGCCTCTTGGAAACGCATTTGCTTTTGGACCCACTGCAAGCAATAGTATACACTGTTGATATGAAAACACAATATGGTATTTCAACTTCATTTATGAGTATTCTCTTTTCACCCCCTTGCAAGTTCCACACTGTTGTGAGTTATTTACATAAAAATACAATACGGTCATTTCCAGCGGAATAAAACAAAGCTCCAAACAATGTATTTGCTTCTCCAGGTCGATCTTCCTGCCAGTTTTGCATCTTCCCGTTTGGAAAGATGGCGCTCCCCTGCATGGTGGTCTTTGGCTTCCAATCTTGGAAAAAAACTCAAGCCTTACCAGCCCCTCGATCCCCTCAGGCTCCCCCACTGTAGCCTATATCCACCTGCCAAGGGCTGATTCAGTCACCACCTGACTACCACACCTTCGTCTGCCACCATACAACCGCAGCCACTCTGGCCCTCTGACCCTCAGGCCACATTGACTGACATCTGTCCCATGAGCACTTCTCCATCAGGTCCCTGCTTCTCCCCTCCCTGGTGTTGACTCTGATGCTTCTTATACAGGACCAACTTCCTACCTGTGTTCTCTGGTCCTCCTGCCTGCCAATCCCTCCCGAATGCTCCCCCAGGCTCCATGTCTGCAGCTACTTAGCCTTGAACCAAGCAGAAGTCTCGAGTGTCCTCCACTGTCTTTTACTGCCTTATTTCCTGCTAAGTTTCCTACTGTTCCTTCCACCCACCATCACGGGGTAGGCATCATGAGTGGTGCATGGTGTCAGACACAAGAGAGAAAACAGTGAGTGCAAAAAGAAAACCATGAAGCCAGAAGCCTGGTGAGGAACGGACACAGTACTGCCAGTCACCCTAAGGACCACTGACCACGTTATAACACAGCCTTCTGTCCCCATGAAAGTGACCCAAGAATGTGCTAGTGAATGGTCCTGTGGCAGACACGTGATGCCACTGCCCTAGTGTCTTGCTCTCCCTGGGTCCTCATCTTCTGGTCTCACCACAAATGTCACTTTCTCAGTGAAGCCACTATGAATGTCACTTTCTCAGTGAAGCCATCTCTAATGCTCCCAGGCCAACTGCTGTGTTCTATTCTCTTCACTGCAGAACACTGTTGAGTCGCACGGCTGCTATATTTATCGTTCAACTGCTCACATCTGTCTCACACAGGGCAGGTGCTTCACCTGTGATTGACAGCTGCCTCCAGAGCACCCTGAAGGGGCCCGGCACACGCAGCACTCCTTAAATGTCTCATTAAATAGCGACTCTAATAACCCAGAACGTGGTGGCTCCTCCTAAGTGGATCCCCCTGCTCAGATCTGTATACAGAGTGGACATGACACAAATAAGTGCCACCAAATAAATTAATTCTGGGAAATTGCTCAAATACCCGAAACCAAGTTTCCAACCCTTCATCTCTTTTAGAGCCAACACACCCACAGACACAAGATGATGTACATGAGGGCAGAGAAAGCAACCTAAAGCTGCCTAATCTCAGGGACCCAACTTCTGCACCAAGACCCATCTTCCCACACCCAGGGTCACAGGAGGCTGCTCACTAATGTGGTGGGCCACCAGAGGGCTGCCGCCTCAGGACACACCAGTCACCTCTCCAGCATGGAGGCTGCTTGACAAGCGGGTGGGGACGATCTGGTCATTCAAGAAAACAAAAGCACTTTCAATAAGAAACTAAATACGACAAATGAAGCCGGCCACCTGTCATCTACAACCGCTCAACCCGGCTGCAAACCACGCTGCTTAGCATCCAGCCAGCCCAGCCAGCCCACGTCAGCTGACACCTTCAGGGTAAGGGAAGCGCCTCTGAAATGGGAGAAGGGCAGGGGACGGAGGATTTTGTGCTTCTATATATGTTTCTGCAATGGACAGTATGTTTATTCTGTATTATTTATACCGGTCCTCAGTAATCCCTTAAGGACTGGAAACAGTTTTACCAACAGAAGGTGCTCAACAAAACAATCCAATGGATAACAGGCTCCAGAAGACATGGAGAAGATTAGAAAAGCAAAATTAGAAAAGGATGGGGATGGGCAGAGTCTCGATTCAGGGGAGTCTCGGTTTGGCTTGAATCCCTGGCCACAATCAGGCGGAACCGAGAGGCGTATCAGTTATGCCACTGGAGAAATGCAATCAGCACTTCAAGGGGAGGTCAGCAGGAGTGAGCAGGATAACAGGGCCCTCCACATGGTTCCTGGACCTGTTCAAATCTGTTCTGTAGTAGCCTATTTGCAGGACTTAGGGAGAGGGGGTGCTCTGCTCAGGACTTGCATGCTAGGTGGGACCTAAGACCAGAGCAAGTGGGTACGTGGACTCCCAGCTTTGGTCTGCCTGGCCACATGCCCACTTTTCTTCCTATTGAACCTATTTCAACTCATCTTCCCTTCCCCAAACCAAGAGCTTATAGTCACAAGGAGGTTTTACCTCTCCAAATCTTTCCCTCCATCCCACCGGGCAGGGGTGGGGCAGCCCTTTAGCATAAATACGGCCTGGAGCAGGCAAGGTGGGAAGATAGTGAAAGAAATCAAAATTGCGGTTGCCTCAAGGGGCATGCATGGGAAGGGACTACAAAGGCAGCAATGGAAACTTCCAGAACAAATCATCTGGATGTGAGTGAAGGTTACACAGATAACCACCAGAATAATGTCCCCTCTAAGGCATCCACATGCTCATCCCTGGAATCTGCGAAAGAGTCACCTTACAGGGCCCAGTGGCTTGACCCAGCAGAGGGCACAAAGGCTGCTCACCCACCTCACCACGAGGAGCGGATCCCGGATTACTCAGGGGGCCCAACGTCATCACCAGGGCCCTTCAGAGTGGAAGAGGGACAGATGCATCATGAGAAGGACCCAACTCTCTGCTGCTGAATTGGAAACAGGGGGAAGAGGCCATAAGCCAAGGACCGTGGGTGGCCTCCAGAGCTGCAGGCGCCTCCAAAAATGAGGACAGCCCTGCAGCACTCTGGTTTCAGTCTAGTGAGATTCATGTCCAACTTGCAAAACAAAAAATCCAAGAACTCAAAGCCACTACATTTGTGGTCATCTATTGCTGCAGCCATAGCCAATGACACAACAGGCATAAAACAGCTGTCAACTGTAACTGAGCTCTACCCTGAGCTGGCTATTAATCGTAAACCATATTACAATAAAAAGAGAGGGAAGAGATACTTTGCTTTGCTTCTGGAAAGCTAGGGAACTACAAAAAGATGTGCAGACAAGGAGTCGCCTTCAGAGACCCCCTGACCCCCAGGGGAACAGCATGCACCGGCCCCACGGCCAACCTGTCCTCAACCTGCCGTTTATCTCCAAATCACATTTTATTCCAAAGCCCTTCTAATAGGTGCTGCCTCATCTGAGCCCGAAGAGATTGCCAAGCCAGATAGCATCATTCATAAACCCGTCAGAGTGCAGAGCAGAGCACCGGGGTCAGGAGAGGCCGGTGGCTTGTGGCGTGGCCCGACATACTCTCCACCTCCTGTCTGCATTCTCAACCCACATGAGCCGCCCGGCCCCTGCCAGACAGGAGCAGAAGGTTGGGAAAGCAGAGGAAGGGGAGCTGGTGGGGGGCAGATGCTCAGCGCCAAGGCCAGACACCACAGACAGCAGGCCTGCCCGGGACATGCTCAGGGGAAGGAAGTGGGGTCAGGGGCAGGGCGAGGAAGTGACCAGTGGCCCAGGGCATCTCCACAGCAGCGGTGGGAGAGGAAGCAGGCATGGCTGCGGTCAGCCGAGCTTCAAAATAAAACAAAAGAGCAGGCGAATGCAGATCACGGAATGTGGAAGCCGGAAGCCCTCTGCTCTAGCAGTTTCCAAATGGTTTTCCCAGCAGGGAAACTCCTCGCTCCCCTTCCCAGATACATCCTCTATAAGGACGCCAGCTGGGCAGGAGAGAGACAAGGCAGAGTGACTCCCTTGAAACAGAGGGAGGACCCTCCGTCACGACATGGGAACTAACTCTGGACTCCGCTCTGCAAACCACCACTGGAGACCATCCTTCCACTTTTCAAGATAAGGAAACTGAGACCCAGGCAGGAAAAGGGCCTTGCTGAGGCTGCAGAGAGATCAACTCCTCAACTTCCCAAGCGACCCTCTCCACCCGCCTGGATGGGGGTAGTTCAAACAGCCTGCGCTGACCTTCTTGCCCTCTGGTAACTGTCACCAGCACTCAGGTGTCCCTCCTTGGGCTGACTAAGCTGGATAGGGACCAAGGAACAGAGGTCTTAGATTAAAAGGATAATCAACTAGCTCTTCATATCAAGTCTTGAAATAATAAGATATTGGTTAATTAGCCTAGCAGACACCCACTACCGATGCTCAAGTCCTTTGCAAAGAAATGAAGCCTGC